GCGTGTGAACCTTCTAAACCAGCATACACAAAAGTAAACATCATATTAAAAGAGCATCCAGCTAATACATTTTGCGTAAGTAATCCCTTTTGGTTTCAATGGGCTGGATGTTGATCAGCAGGAACTATGCAGGGAATGTGGGTGCCATCAATGGCACCCACGCATTTGTCAAAGTACGGTGTGAAACAAGGGTTGTTTCTAATTTCTTTAGGGCAGATCTCCCCTCTGGTAGGTTGAACAATGTACATTGATTCAAGGGAGGCGATGGCGTGACAGACATTGTTAAAGTATTTACTGATGGTATGTCCAGAGCGTTGAAAGCGCTCTCCAGCAACTCAATTGGATCCAGAATTTCCAATGATAAAAAGAAAGATCATAACTTGCTCTTCCTTTGATACACTACACTTGCGGTGGATGACAAGCTTGCTTTCAAGGGCTTTGATCAAGCCCTTGAAAGCACGCTTGTCCATTCAACAAATTTCTTGAAATCGGACATCACTGCCTTTGAGGATTTTGTTTGTATACTGATTTCCTCGAAGCTTTGATGTTCAACAAGGCCTCTTCTCGGTGATTATCGAAGCAAGGTAATCTACTCCAGCCTTGATGATGACCTTCAGAACCGCAATTGCCGGTCAAATAGATATAGAGGACGCGTCAGAGTTGGAATCAGAGGAACTCGGCATGATGGGAACTTGGAAGAAGGGATGGTTTGGGTGATCAAAGGCTCGAAACCTTTCTTTTGTTCATTGCAACTCTCAAGACCATTCTGGTTTTCAAAGATTTGAAGACTGTCCTTAATGATCACCAAAGCAAACACTTCATTACATCATTTTTCACAAATTCTCACAAAATGCGAAGTTCGGTTTTTTTTACAAAAATCACTTTTCTACATGTAGAAAAGAGGTCACTCAGAATTCGACTTCACAAAATCCGGCTTAAGTGAACGCAGCCTAAAGGTCATCAACTTTTCAGAAACACTAAATTCCACAACAACACTGGCTTTGAGGTACAGGAAACATTTTGTGCTTATTATATTCAATCACATGATCTGACATCCCTCTATAGTGCTGCAAGCAGCTATACAAAGAATGTAAACCTTGATGGCCCCATTTTCTGAAGCAGTGATCATGCTACTTAAGGACATTATTTTAAACCACAGGGTGCCAGAAGGATTAATCACCAATAACAGCTCTGGATTTATCTTGAAGCAATTCAAAGACTATGTCAAAACTTTAAACATCAAGCATATCAAAAATACACCATACCATACTTAAGCTAAAGGCTTGGTTGAGCAATTCCATGGAAATCTCATGAATAGTGTTCAAGTGGTGTAGCCCATGCAGTCAAAACCTCTGGGACAAATATGTTAGCTTTTATTGTACTCTCAAGTGAAGAAGCTCATCTATCATCTGAAATTTTAAGCATCAACTTTGACAGTTCTCTTGCAAATCTTGAACTGATTTATTGTCAGTGACACTTGTGAATCTACAAGCACAACAAAATATGAGAAGAACCTGTTAATTATCTCAATGAGAGAGTAAAAGAACAATACAGCCAAACCACCGGAGCATACGCTGAACAGAGTGTTGGACCAGGTGATAGAGTACTCTGATGTTTTGAAGGAAGACCCTCTAAGCTACATCCCACATGGGATGGACCCTTTATTATTAAAGATGCATTCCCAGATGGTACACTTGGATCAGTGACTTCAAACAAACATGTTCTCAGGCACAAACTAATGGCAGTCAATTAGTAAAAATTGACTGCACAATAGACAAGCTCTACTATGCCTCTCAGCCAACTTGTCAATTCCACAACCAATTCAAGTGAGCTAGAAGCAGATCTGGTCAAGTATATTGATCTCTTTAGCAGCCTTTTCAACATCATCAATGAAGATATTTTTAGCAAAACTCTTGATAGATCATTCACAAAACTTCAAGATATGAAATATCTAATCTTGAAGGGAAAAGATGCTACAATCTCAAAGACAAACTGGTAAACTAAGAAGTTTATGGCCTTGCAGAGGGGATGATTTTATTCCCAATTTTTCATTTTTGCTTCCATTTTCATTGTTTCCTAAAGATCTACTTTCATGCTTTCATAACTTCTATTTTTCTTTGCGTACTTTTCCATATGGCTTTTTCAGGCAGACAGATCTCATACAGATCCGTCCCAATCATTGTCACTACCAATTTTTGACTGGGTCCAGCAGTACCAGACCTGGTCATTCCTTACCAATTAGACTCTCTTGTATTGAGGCATCCCCTTTTCCTCAATTTGTACCACCTTAAAATTTCCTTATTTGTACTGTAGTTGGAGATGTTTGCTCATATAAGCCACTTCCACCTCCCAAGAAATGGAAACAGCAAGTTACTTCCCATTCATCTTTTGCCCACAAATTGTGAGTGGATCATATGGGCCTGTTAATAAAAGATGTCATTATTCAATACACCCCTCAAGTTCTAACACCAGCATTAGGTATACTCATAGGGACCTAAGTATGCTTGGATTAAACCGTATAAGTCCAATGTACTTGATCTCATAGTAGTCACACTTATTTTGCTACTTGTTACATGTGTTTGGAAGATGCAACCTTTTGTAGTGTTATAAATGAAGGAATAATTTGATCCATTACAAAAAAAGTGCTGTACATTGAGTTTGTGCGCAAGGCCAAGGCAAACAACTTTTCTCTTTTGTCCAGACCAAGATACATATTTGGTACGGAAAAGTGTAGAGAGTTGGCGAGATTGCTCCCTGAAAAAGGGGCATCTCTCAGGTTATGGAGAAGTTTGTTGTACATAAGTCCCAGGCTCAAGACCTTGTGAGGGTGTGAGTGCGAGTGCGGGAATTTTGTTAAGTTTAACCCAGCAGATATTCTGTCCAATTTGATCTACAAGAAGTTGAACAATTTATAAAACTTGGAAAAATAAAACAAATCAAATGATGTCATTTATGACGTCATATCACAGTGAACGGTATAGAATAACCATCATGTGACACTCCATCACAATCACAACATGACCATCTTTAATCAAGTTATGTAGTAAAGACGCATGCGGTGATGAGGTTGTGCTACTATGAATGTGACACATCTGTGAGGTTGTAAGGTTGTGAACATGAGGAGCTCCATCTGGCAAGCAGAAGAGCAGATTATCAGCGTATACGACACGGTGGCACTGGGCCACACTGCCAATAAATCCAGCAGAGCCATGTGACAATGGATTTCAAACTACAACAGAGTGAAAATTTAAATCCACATAGCAATTGACCTTCGCCCAGCGCGCGCGTCTCGCGTTCACAAGTCGGTCGCCTGGTGGTGTAGGTTTGTTTGTAAAGCAAGCCACTTCTACTCCAGCCCACATAAATTGTGGAGCAAAAGCCAAACGGTCAAGAACCATATGTTGGCTGTTGTAGGCTGAAAGCAAAAGCCAGATTTCGAAGCTATGGTTTAGTGTGTTGAATTTGAGGCGTCAAATTCTTGCGGCAAAATCTAAGATCGACTTTTTTTTACAAGAGATCTAAGGATGCCTTCCGAGTCCGAAGCCAGTTGAGCTTGTATGTATGTACAAACTTGCATGGGATACGAGGTTGGATGCGTTTGACCACGACGCATGGATGATGGATGCCTTTATAGAAACTGTGTGTCCAATCAGTCTATGCCTTACTGTTATCCTTGGTCCTCGGATGGCTTGGTGCTTTTGCTTCGTCGTTTCTTTAAATTCAGAAGGGATCAGGCTCATCGGATGCTATTAAGGTTAACGGTATAATCCTCTTTTGCGAGCGCGCGTCGCGGCACGCTGACTCTTTACGTGGTCGTGAGCTACTTAGAAAACTCAAGTCACCGAAAGTGTGCTTGCCACGGTTGACTGATTGAACTTGACTAGAGGGTGCACTCTCGAACTCAACACAAAGCTCATCCCTATATTTTTTTGAAGAATGGATCCGTCCGGTGATGAGAAAAACGTACACTTGGTGATAAGGAAGGGAAACTAAAAAAACGGATAGAGATCGGGAGGGAGCTGTTCTCTTTGACCATGACGATCATGGCTTCAAAAGGAACGAAAAAAGACATGAACAGTTTGCTGGTTTACGTAAATAAAACTTGAATACCAAAGGACGGATCGAATATAATCGTGATTTTAACTCTGAAAGATTTCAAATGAGTTTTTCCAGGTGCTTCCATGAAAAGAAATGATTCTGGAGACTTATGTTTTTTTTTTTGACAAGTGATGTGATAACTGGTTTTAAATGAACAAGATAGCGAGTATCAGCGAGCATCTTAAAAATGGATGATACTATAAAACCTTTATCTAATTCATCCTTCGGTTGAATTTCTTAACTCGATAGACTGATAGTTTTGTCATTAGCGTTTGTCTTAAAATTGATCACGACTAAGTTCACGATGACATAAAAAAATGGACCATTCTTGGTTTTGAATGGAAATCAAATCGATCAATTGATATTTCACTTTTTAAAGTCGAATTTCTTTTTTACACATCTCTCTGATGGCAAGTTCAAATGACAAATGGTGAGTGAGTTGAGTTGAGTTGAATTGAATTGAGTAAATCAGATTACTTAGATTATTTGGTTGAATTCTGATTTCCAATTGATTTGAAATACAAACCCACTACTACCAATAGACTACGACTACTTCCATCAAATCACTGAGTAGCACTGAGTTTTTTTTTTCCACAAAAGATCTATAAAATGTACTCTGCCATCCCGCCCTCAAAGATTCCTCTTAATCTGAACTTCTTCCCACTAAAACTTCTTTAAGTCTTTTGCGTGTAATCTATTCAAGCCTATGACCAAAACAGGAACCGTTCTTTTTTAACCTCCCTACTCTACTCAACAAAAAAATATCAGTTTTGCTTCATAGTTCCTAATTCATTCCTTTGATTAAAAATTTTTATTATATTCTGTGATTTCTGATCATCCTACTGAAAAGAAAATCAACCACAAGGAGTGCCAAGAAAACTCAGAATACTCCTTCAAGAAACATGAATCCTAACGTTCTTCATCAATTTGCCATGTCGGTCTCCTTTTTTATTGCATATTTCTTTCCTTTTGACTTGACCATTTTCAGCAGTACATTTTGTTTGGGCTTGTATCCAAATCCTCGCTTGCTGAGTTTTTTCTATCCTTTCTGACATTTTTTTTTTTTGAATTTGTTGGTTTCAGGGGTGCTCATCATGATGTTAAAGAACGACCGGTCTCTTTGCTCTCGCGGCCCAACCGAGCTTCTACTGCCTCATCCGGCGGCGATGATGATGATTTATCTACGAGTTCAAACTCCAATTCGAACTTTCAATCTCAGTTGTCAATTGACGATCGATTAAGTCGATTGGAATCTTCGATTGGTACCCTCGGTTTGATGTATCAAAGAGATATGAACGAGTTAAGAACCCAATTGGATTGTCTGATGAACAAACCGAAGGACTCGCCGCCCTTCTCAGCTATCAATTCTAGTCATCTCAATAAAAATGCTACCCCATTTGTACCATTGACTTCTACCTACCTTAACACCAACACTACTAATCATCACGAAAACGACGAAAAAAATGAAAATGCCAAGAACCCGGGCGCTGTCAATCAACCCTTTAACTCATTATCACAAACTGAGCAAATCCATTCTCTTTCTCAACAAGTTAACTTACTCTCTCAAACCATGTCTCAACTTTTATCTACTTTGATTACATCTCCTTCTGCCAACACTCCTTCGACTGGTCTCAATTTACCACCTCAATTACTTCCGATTCAAAATCTTAACGTGCCGAAATTACGACCAGCTGTTAGCCAAACCCTTCCACAAATCCCTGCACAGATTCCTAATCCACCTATTCAACGAAGTCTGAGTATCAATAGTTTCTCGAGTCCACCAAATCGAGCTCATCCTGGACATCCACCTCATTTGAACTTCAACTCTCCTTCAAATGATTATATCCAAAAAAGGCTTTATGATGCTACTTCTTTACCTTCACCGCAGTTGGTGCTATCACCCGTCAATTCTCAACACGAGCCTTACCCACCCAGAAACATGCTTACGATCTCCAATACACTTGGTCCCAATGCGTCTGCCTCTGTACCGCCTTCTCCTATGAGCCCCGCTGTTAGTACCTCTCGATCATCTTGAGCAATCTTGCAGTATTTTTGCTGATCTTTTTTTATATACGAACAACAGGCTTTCGATCAATATCATAGCGGTGGTAGTGCACCTGCTAATTCCCTTGCTGGCAAGTGGGAACAGCTAGGTATCACGGGTGATGTCTTACGTGCTATCGTTAGGTTTGGGTACGTGTGCTTTATGCTCAGATCGATTTGAGATGCTCAATGGCTGACTGTGAACTACCCACATCACAGAATTGGCCCACCAACCAAGACTCAACAAAAGTCAATTCCGTTGATGTTGGTCGGCAAGGATTTGGTCTCACAATCTAATCCAATCCAAGAACGTATTCAGGCCTACGTGATCCCAGCGCTTCAACTCATCAGTCACTCTGCTCGTGGTCCATCTTCTGGGGCTTATCCCGCTCATTTCCAACTCAACAAACCAGCCGCGCCTCCTGCACCCAATCAGACGGTCAAAGTGTTGATTATAACTGCTACCCTTGATGAAGCCTCTCAAGCTTATCGACTTGCCAATGGCATCGCTTCCTTATTACCGTACGCTTTGAAAGTCAGCCATTGCTCTAGCGACGCCCAACCTCCTCCTTCGCACCCAGCTGTTTCAATGCACCCTCAGCCTCATATCCTCATTGGAACACCATCGAAACTTCTGGATCCTGTCAACGGTCTGCGAGGATACAATTTTGACGCTAGCGACTTTATCAGTGTAGTCTTGGACGAGATGGATCAACTCTTGGCTCGAAACATGACAGATATGGTCACCAGCTTGATGAATTTCTTACCTACAAACCAAGTCACCTCTTCGCCGGATCGTTTGAGCCCACCTTTGCTACCTAAATCTTCCACAGGTGCAGACTGCCCTACTCCCGCTTTTGATAACGCTCATCGACCACCGGGGAGTCAGTACTCTGTAACTTCGCCCATCGGTCCCTCCTTCAAATCTGCACCTTCACCACTTACACCCGGATTTCCTACTACTCCTCAAGACCCTCCTCGTGGTCGTCAGACTTGTATCTTTAGCTGTACTGTACCACAAGATGTGCTGAGCTATGCTCGCACGCTCAATCTTCGAGCCCGAGTGCTTGTTCGACGCGATGAACCCGCTTCCAACAACTCGGCTACTCATCAATCTAACAACGGCCCAGCAGGATCTTACGAGGTATCCGATCTACGTGGACAACTTCCTAATTCATTGCCTTCCCTCTCTGGACGAATCAGTCCACAAGAACTTGTCAAAAGCCTTCGACAATACTATGTTTCGATCCAAATGGGTGGAGGAGTGACTGGAAGGAGAGGACGTGAATGGAAGCTTGATGCACTTGTTGAATTGTTATTAGATCTTGATCATCCACCCGAGGCTGCTGGGGGTGAGCATGGTCAACCTTTTGTGTTGGTGTATTGTAACAGTGTTGATTCGGTGGAATGTGTGAGCCAAAAATTGATCTCACAAGGTATCGATGCTCTTGCCTTGGTAAGCCCGCTTCATACTGCTCATCGTTTTCACAAGCTGTTTACTTACAAAAAACTTAATGTAGCATCAAGATATGGGTCCAGCTGCTCGTCACTCCATCCTGACTCGCTTCAACAAAGCACCTCTAGGCAACGGATTTGGAAACCAAAAAGGTCCGAAGATGAAAGCTCTGGTCGTTTACGACGTACTTTCAAAGAGCTTAGTAGACCTACAAAGTTATCAATCAATCTTGCCTGTCGCGCGTCAAACGATTCTTGTCAACTTTGAACTTCCACGCGCTGTTGAGGACTATGTACATCGGTTAGTGTCTTTTCTCATTTCTCCTCTCAATGAACGATCCTGATGATTAGTTCTTCGATTTCTGTAGAGCTGCTTGTATGATTTCAAACCATAAAAGACCAATTGGATCTGGAGGCGTTTTGATAAATTTTGTTTCAGTTCTTTCTGATGTTGAGATGGTCAGATCCATTGAAAGTTTTTGTAAGTTTGAGTTTATCAACCGAATAAGATGGTTATATTTGAAGCTTATGGACTCTGTTATGTTTGATTTTGATACAGATCGATGTCAAATTAATGAATTACCGCATCACCATTTACATCTCTTGTAGCCACTTTTCATCTCATTTCCTTCTCCTGACTGCCAAAAAGTCAACTCAAAGCTATCATCTTTTCCATATACCTAGGATCGTATTGATCAATTCTGTCCACTTCTCTTCACCCAAAACTTGTACATTTCATAACTTTGATCATATACCATTTCCTTTTCGATTTCAATCTGTTTTCTGCATCTATTCTTCTATATGCTTTTATTTTGTGTGAGAGCGTGTTTATGTTTGTGTGTGTTTATCACTGCAAGTGTTTGTCTTAAGATTATCTTTTCAGTTTCTTATGCTATGAATTGTTTTTTTTTCCCGGTTTTGTTTTGTTTTTCTCTTTTCTTTTCTATCTTCTTGCCATGCATTATATTTTGTAACTTGAAACCATATCAGAAAAAAAACAAACAAGAAATCATACTTTATTTTTATCTCTCTTCTAACTACACATCATATTTATTTTCTTTTTTTTTTTGTCTTTCTTTTTTTTTCTTTTGTATTGATCTGAGTTAAAATTTTTGTTGTAAACAAGACAAAACAAAAAATTAAATCAAGTTGATTTGTTTTTTTTGCTCAGATTATAACACAACTCATTCCATGTTCTTTTTTTGTTGTTCTTGCAATGATCTTGTTGTTTGAGATCTTTTAAGTATCTTTTTTATTCTTTTGTCTCTTGGATTCTTGTTTTTGTTTTGTTTTTTTACTTGTAAGTATCCATCTTATTGAGCGTCCTGCAGTTTGCATTTTCAAATATTCAAATATGGAAAAACGTCATTGTTTGACTCATCCTTGGAATCAAATCTTCTTTATCTTTCTCACGTGGATTGAGGCTGCATTTAGTTTTTCCGCATCTTTTGTGATCCCAATGCCTCTCATTCGAAGATTAGCGCAGATTCTCTTTTATCTGAACCGGATCTTTATGAGTTGTATAAAACTTGGATTTCCTTTCGAGCTTTTCAGTATCCTCATCTCCTTCCTGCATGCCTATTGATAGAAAAAATCTGATCAAGTTGATAATTTTGAACGCTTTGTAAAACATTGATCCCTTCGCGTTAACTTTTGAAATTCGGCTGAAAGAAACCTTGATACGTTGAATTGTTCATCATTCCAAATACTTTCATTAAATAGACAATTCAACACAATCGACTCGGGATAGGCTGGACAGAGCTTTGAAGGCAAGTTTCAGGTTGATTTTTCGCATTCTGGGGTTTTGACTCATTTGGCGCTCCACAGCCACCGTACATGTTTGAGTCTGAGAGTAGAAATCAAGCTGGGGCTAAGCAAAAGGAAGTTCCCAAAATCATGGGTTAAGTCTAAGTATGAATGGCTTTAGCCAGGGATGATGGAAACCTGTCAATCGATCTGAATCTCAGCCAATCCAATTTCAAATCAACCAACTCAAACTCAAACAAAACGAACTAAAGGACGAATAGATAGAAAACTAAACAATCAAAGAAGAAAGTCACTGAAGAAGAACTTAAGGGCTGTTTATTCAACTGATGAATCTATTCAAAAAGATCAAAATCGAATGAAATGTCAAGTCATCCAGAAGGAAACCCATTACCAGAGAATGGAGTAGTCGACAGATTAACGAAATCACAATATTCAACAGTCAAATCATTTTGGCAAGAGTTTTTCAAATTGATTGATCAAGCACCCGAAAGAGGAACATGGAAAGCAACAAACGATCAAGAATCCAACGAATCACAAACTAATAATGAAACTAATAATGAACCTGTTCCTTCGAATATTAAAGATGAAAACTTGAAAGAAAAGTTGAGATCTGAACAAGAACTTAGGGATGCTAAAGCTGCTTTAGAAAAATATGGTAGAATTAAGTTTTTAGAAATCTTTTGGGGAATGATTATGGTCAGTCATTTCTTTGGATCTTCAAAACACTCTTCAAAATACTAATCTTCTTGTGTGTGTGTGTTTGCTTTTATTATACTGGGATACTCATACTCCACACCTTAGATGGACGATCCAGATGTAATAGTATTGAAATTTTTAAGAGCAAGAAAATGGAATGTATCGGCAGGTGTAGCCATGATGGCAGCATGTATGAAATGGAGAATTGAATTTGGAGTAGAAGACATTATAGAAAAAGGTGAAGAAGGTTTAAAAGATTGTGAAGGGTTCATACATCAAATGAAGATAGGTAAAAGTTTCATTCAAGGTACTGATAAACAAGGTAGACCTATTGTTTATATCACGGTCAGATTACATAAGATGTCGGATACTGGGATTAGAGCTTTAGAGAGTATGTTTGTTAAGTTTATCTTCCATTCAACTTCACAAACAAACCTGATCGATTTTTGATTTGATGTTCTTAGAATATATTATCTTCGTGATGGAATCTGTTCGGATCATGCTCACTCCACCTATAATCGAGAAAACAACAATCGTGATCGATATGACGTGAGTATCTTTTCCTCCATAGTTATTCTCTTCTCAAATCTGACACACATGTCTTCTTAGTGGATTTGGTCTAGCGAATATGGATTGGAAATCACTTGGGTTCATTTTGAAATGTTTAGAATCTTATTACCCAGAAGTAAGTTTATCAATTCAAGCTCTGCTCATCAAGCAGTTTCGTAAAAGTTCATTTCAACTGATCTTATGAACATGAATCAGTCATTGAATGTTTTGCTTGTACATAACGCGCCTTGGGTGTTTCAAGGGATTTGGAAAATTATCGCACCAATGCTAGATCGTTTGTCTCTACCTTTAATTCATTACTCATGTATTCTCCTAATGATTTTTATTTTTATCTTCGCCTACATAGCGGTCGTACGGGCCAAGATTCAAATGACAAAGACACCCGAAGAGCTAAAAGTGCATATCGACGAACGACATCTAACGAAAAACTTAGGAGGTACCAATGATTGGACATGGGAATACGAACCAGTGAAACCATCTGAAAATGAGAAGATGAATGATCAACTTGCTAAAGCTCGTGAGATGAGACACCGAAACACGTTGATAGGATTATATATGGATGCCACTCGAAAATGGTGTGATGAATCTACTGATTCTTCTTTACCTTCAATGGTAGAAATCGAGCCAGATAATGAAAAGACAGCTATGGCCATAGATAACAGTCCAGAAGCAATCTTAAGGAGATATTTTATGTATCATCTTAGAGCACATTATTTTATACTAGTAAGTTTGATTCAGTTCATGTGATGAATGGAGTGTAATGAACTGATTTTTATCTTATTTTCTTGACTTACAGGATGTATATGTTAGAGGTAGATCATTTTATCATCGTAAAGGACATGTAGTAGGTAATGGTTTGATTACATTTCAATATCCCAAGGTCAAAGATAAATCAGGGAAAGAAATTGATGAATGGGAAGTATTGGGTTATCCAATGAGTCGAGAACAGATTTTAATCTTGATTCAAAGAATGAAAACTTTAATGAAAAAACGTAATATTGCTTATCCAGATATATGATTTGATTTTTCCTTCTTCTAATGTTATATTTTCTAAATTATAGTTTCAACCGTTTACTGCAAAAATCTTATTTATTAATTGTCCTCTATTTTTTATTCAAAGCTTCAACATTTTACAGTTTAGGTCAATAGGACCAACTATGATCATATAGCTTCATCCAAAACGAATGGATGATGTTGATGTCTTAACTCTGATTTCTTTTCTTACATTGTTGTTTCTCTAACTTTTGTAGATATCGTTGTATTTTCTTTATTGATGTTTGATTTCTAAATGCAATTACCCAAAGATGGTGTAAAGTTTTTTGATGTATACATGATTGATGATTTTGTCTTTTCAGCAAGATTGAGTTGATATGCAGTTAATCATCTTGGTGATACAAGTTGACTCATTTAAATGCCATCAATGGTCACATGGATGAAATGTTTAAATTTATGTACTGCATGTTTGCCCTAAGGCTTAAACCGCTGAAAAGGATGAGATTATACTGGCATTCGGCAAACCATACCCATTCCCAATTGGCAATATACCGTGCCTTGGGTGGAGAATGATTTGATATCATCACAGAGTTTTGGGAAATGGGGAGTGTTCACCAAAATTGTTTGTGGTGAGGCTGCAAGAGACCTTCAAAGATCCAAGGTGACGTTAGAACATGTCCTGTATAGGTTCGGCCGATGAGTCCACGGTGACGGAGCCGGGTTGGCTTCCTTCGCGATCCTCCTCTGTCCAAATATACCATCAAGAAAACTTCAACGATTTACAAAGCTAACCAAACCAAAAATGGTAAGCTCAACTTCATATATTCTATGAACGCTCATATTGATACACTTCCTGACGATTTCTCCTTGTACGTTCTGTGATATCCCGAATCGATGATTGTCCGATATTTTGTATGAAGGCAAAAGCGAATGCAAAACGAATCACGGCTCAAAACCAACGTTTACTAAATCAGCTGTCGAAATTCTTATTAGGTTCAAACGTACATTAGAATTTCCTCCCTTCATGCTCTTATATGATCCCTTTGCAGTCTGTTCAAGCTCTTGCAAGAGGAGAGAAAAACTTGACGCAAAGTTACAACGCCCGTATTTTTCAAAATAAAATCTCGTCATGATAAAGACAAATCCGCTGATTCGACTTGATTTTTTTGGGCGATTTCGGGCTGATTGTGTTCACGACCAAAAATAAATTCCATCATACAAGGCAATTCATCTAATATCAATAATAATCTTTAAAAATTCAACAAAATCTTACCTTTCATTCCACACAATTTTATATATATTAACTTCCTTTTTATCTTATGTTTCTTATTCTTTACTTTATACTTCTTCTGGTATAACTAATAATAATATAAGAAATCCAGAAGATTTATCAATAGGTTTAAATCAATATTTAGTTGATTTTTGTTATCTTTCAATTTTGATTTGGACTACAACTGGGATTTTTTCTACTTCATTTTGGTGGCTTTATTCATTAGTAAGTTGAACTCATACCTATTTTTTATTGAAATATTAAACTGATTTTCATTTTCGTCTGTTTTTAGATTCCAATTTATGGTTTTTATAAAAGTTTTAATTTTCTTCGTTTATATGTTTTTCCTAGACTTTTTGCATCAAGATAGATCACTTATTCTGAATCTTAAACTAACAAGTTGTCAGATCTGGATGACTTACTTCTCAAGTGGCATCTATACCTCGTGAAATAATCGTGGCTGTGATGCAAGTGATGCTCTTGAGGAGCTTTGGTGCCCATGTACATATCAAGTCTCTGAAACATGCTAGTTCTCAAGTACCAAAAAATGAACTTACCGGAATGAAAACCTTGTAGATGTTCCAATGAGAATGATGATATGCTGAGGTTAGCGCGCCTAACCTTATGACTTAAATTAAGTCCATGATGAGGCGGACGTGACCGCGTCGGATGAGGGGCTTAGTTGAGCTTACCATAATCAATCCATAATAAAGAGCCATCGCATTTCCAAAAAAATCTAGACAGACTTTCAAAAAGGAAGGATACAGTAAGGAGCATATTGATGTGCAGACTACATAACGACAAGCAAACATGTGTTGCAGTGCGTTGACAGATATATCAAAACAGGAAGAGAAACTGAAAAAAGGGAAACCAGGAGAGAGAGATCAGTTCATCCAACATAGAATGAGCCATACACAACAAGATAGAACGCTCTATAAATGCATCCCTAAAATCCATCCACAATCTAAATCTAATTGATTAAGACGAATGACCCTTCTCTTCTTTTTAACTGGGTACAATAGATTCATCAATGAAGCAAGTAACCAAAACTGCAAGACAAGAAAGCATCAAATTAAATTGAAAAACTTTCATCAAAGCTTTTGAATAACTTTCTTTTGCAATAAGTTTTAAAGTTTCAGTTGGTAATTCAAAACCAATTGAAGATTGTTTTCTAATTTTTTCAATCATCTATTGATCCATCACAAGAGAAAACCAATTAATTAACTTCGTTTTCAAAAGTCTTTTTTGAGAAGTATGTAACTGTTTGTACAAACCTCAAGTGATCCTGGTCCAGTAATCCTTTTCTGAAGTTCTCGAACTAATACATTTTGTAAAATTGCTCCACTCTATTCCAGTAGATGAAAAAAGTCAGCTAGATAGGATCATACAAAGTGAATATAGAGAGATTGACTCAAACAATTGCAACTCCTACTACTTGGCCGGTATACCGAAACAAGTAAATAAGTGCTGTGGCAATTGCCATCTCTTCAGCTGAGACTGAAACCATCAAACCCACTGTGGACCATAAAGAGACTGTCACTATGTCTATTTGACTTTTTCTTGCTACACTTTTTGTTGTAGAAATGTAAAAAAAAACAAAGAGCGAGATGAGACGGAGGAAGGAAATCGACATACCAAGTAAGGAAGTTAGTACCGATGAAAACCCAAAGCCGATTGGAATCTAGGAAAACAAACAAACGTTTAACATGATAAGAAAGCCGTGATTAAGCATAAGGATTAGGACATACAATTGCAATCCATTGTGACCATGCTTGTTTTAACCCACTCGCAAGCATGATAGCTGAACCAGTTCCAAAGAAAACAGCACCACCCACGGTAATAGCTTTATGCCGCGAAGTCAGCCGAATGAGAAGCCCGGATAGTAGAGAGCCAAAAGCTATGGCAATGGAATTTGAGACTAGGTGGAGGCCTGCTTCAGATGAAGTTTGGGATGCGACAGTTTCGAGGTACATAGGGTACATGTATAGCACACTGTAGGAGCCAGTGTGTTAATCTCAGCCAATGACCTTACTTGGGTGAGGAGAGGAGAAGAAGTAATGTACCTGTAGAAGACCATACTGGATTGAGAAATGATATGAGCTATGGCAATCATATTGAAGCAGAAAGGAAAGAAGGCGCACCTGATCAAAAAGTATGTACAAGCAATCGAGGATGGTGACTTCTGCTTGAGTAATTTGATTGGTAAAACGGGCTCAGAAGCCACTCGAGCCTCAATATAGAGAAAAGAGATGAAGAAAACAATGAAGGAAAGTGATGTGAGATAAACTCGAGGATCTGTCCACTGGAATTCAGCAAAAAAAAGAGGTTAATCTTTTGTTCTCCTTTGTGTAACGCATGAATTGAGCATTAATTATACTGACAGGTAATTGCTGATCATTTTTAAAACTGAGCGATAACAATAAGCTCCCGTTCTATGATTTTTCAACAGAACGCAATATACAAACCATGGTCAGTTTGAATCCTACAAACCACGAGAGAGGGGAACTGACCCATAGGACTAAGCTCAAGCTTCCCCACCAATCTATTCGGCGAATCAATTCCGCTTTATTGGTAGCTTCACCTTCGCAGCGATAATCAATGAAATACGCTACCATTCCCATTGCAAGGACGAGGACTGGTACCTGGCCTGTCTTTAAACAGGTAAGAATACTAGTATCAAATCAAGAATTGAGATTCAGACATTACCTATGAATGGAGATCTCCAACCTAATCCCTCTGCAAGCCATCCACCCAAAGGTCCACCCAAGGCCGCACCAGCCCCAAAACAGATACTTGTAAGTCCTTGAACCACTCCTCTTCGATTGAGCGGTACAAGATCACATGCGATGATACTACTAGTAGTCATCACCCCGCCACCACCTGTCCCAGCCACGAAGCGTGCAATGATAAATGAATTCATAGAGGTAGAAAGTCCGCATGCTATAGTTCCAATGGTAAATAAAGTAAGAGCTATAAAAATCGACAAACGTCTACCAATTAGATTTGAAAGACGACCGTATAAAGGTGAGGTGGCTGAAAGTGCAAGAAGATAAGAGGTTCCTAGCCAAGATACCTCGTTTGCAGCTGAGAATGAGGAAGCTATTGAAGAACTCAAAGTAGCGACAATGGTACTATCGAGCGCTACAAGAAAGACACTGTGGCGATTGGAAAATCAAATAAAGGTCGGCTGAGATTGATAAAGTGAAGAGTTAGAAGATGAGAAATGAAGGACTAACCCGGTCCAAGTAGCAGCAAAGATAGTGACCTTTTTATAACTTGGAAGGTCAATTGGTCTTGCTAATGGTTCTTGAAGGTCATGGTCATGAGATCGAAGTAATGGAGTAGTTTCATCGTTGCCACTGGATTGATTTCGTTTGATGGCCATTATCCTCATTTTCGTCTTTTCTACTTATCATCAACATCAACTGATTCTCAATAATGTTGTATCAACTTTGGTCCATTAACCGATCCCTCAACGATCAGGTGGACACTAACTTTGAGCCCGATATCGGATCCCAAGACTCTTTCTTGATATACCAGTTTTGCGGGGTTCAAAGTCTATCTATCGCAGAATGTCAGTGAAGATAACGGCCTCCCAATGTCAGTCATACTATACGACTCTGAATTGACAAGATCTGGACCACCATCAAGCCCTCGGAAAGCTCTGGGGAAATGATCCGTCCTCAAAGCGGTCAAAGTCGTCAAATCCAAACCATACAAACTGGGCAAAACCCAGAATTTGTGATCAATATCGGGTTCGTCGGTAGGTTTCTACAAAAATCAACCCAAGGAAATCGCACACCAATATTTAGGCGACAATCTCGGAATACTGATGATGAGATTGTTCATTCAAGAATTCGTGACATGATCTTTGTCGGGATTTGAGCAACAAACCTGATTGTAGGACTTCATTATCTGGGGACAGCGAAGCTTCGAGTCACTTGTACATATAGCATAAATGATGACCAAAATGACCCGTGAACGAAAAAAATTGCATTTCCAATAAACACTAACAAAAAAAGTCAAAAGACGTTAAGAATTACAGCACTAAAGATATTGATGCTTAGTGTACATACCAACAGACAAATGTGTGGTGATAGATGTCCCAAAAGAAAAATCAAAGCATAGAGAAGAGACGCTACGACAGAGACAGGGAGATCAATTTTGCAATGTGCCTTATATTCAAATCAGAATAAAAATGCTCTATAGATGCTTCACTATAATTCTACCATCATGCAAATCCAAATGATTATCAAGTAGTTTTTCTTCTTGTTTTCACCTTTCTACTGTAGATTCATCAATAAAGAAGGTAGTCAAAATCGCAAGACCAGAAAGAATTAAATTCCATTCAAAAACTTTCATCAACCCTTTTGAATAACTTTCTTTAGCAATAAGTCTCAAAGTTTCAGTTGGTAAATGAGAAACAATAGATGATTGTTTTCTAATCTTATCAATGATCTATTCATCAAGCAACACCAATTCATCAGTTGTTGTCTTCAATCTTCTGAAAAAAGTATACTGTACAGACCTCAAGGGATCCAGGTCCAGTAATCCTTGCATGAAGTTCTCGCACTAATACATTCTGTAGGATTGCTCCACTCTACTCTCAGTAGATAAATAGATAAAAGTCAGCCAAATAGGGTTAAGAAAAGTGACCATAAAGAATTAACTCAAACAATTGCGACTCCTACTACTTGTCCAGTATACCGAAAGAGGTAGGTGAGTGCTGTGGCGATTGCCATTTCTTCAGTCGAGACTGAAGTCATCAAGCCAACTGTGGACCATAAACACAGGCCATTAGCATGTCTATTCGACTTTTTCGCTCCGCTTATTATGGTCGGAACAATGCAAAAATGTCAGAGTGACAAAACAGAGAATTGAGATTGACAAACCGAGCAAGGAAGTAGCAACCCATGCAAACCCAAATCCGATTGGAACCTAGCAAAACAAAAAAGATGTTTAATTACAATAAGGATGCGATTCGGATCGAGCACAATTCGCAGGACGTACGATGGCAATCCATTGTGCCCATGCTTGTTGCAACCCACTCGCGACCATGATAGCTGAACCAGTTCCAAATACGACTGTACCAATTATAGTGGGTGTTCTATGCCGAGAAGTGAGCCGGATCATGAGCCCTGCTAGGAGAGACCCAAAGGCTATGGCAATGGAATTCGGGACCAGATGAAGGCCTGCTTGAGAGGATGTTTGAGATGCAACGGTTTCGAGGTACATGGGGTACATGTATAGTACACTTCGGAAGCAAGCAGATTGATCTCAGCTAATGAACATATTTTCCCAAGTGTGCTAGTAGAGAGAAGGAATTAGGTAGGTCGATTACCTGTAGAATACCATACTATGTCGAGAAATGATGTGAGTTATATCGATCATACAACAGCAGAAAGTAAAGAGGACAAACCTGATCAAGAAAAATGTACAAGCAATTGAGGATGGTGACTTAAGCTTGAGTAACTTGATCGGTAGTACGGGTTCAGAAGCTACTCGAGCCTCAATGTAGACAAAGACCACGAAGAAGCAAATAAAGGAGAGTAGTGTGAGATAAACTCGAGGATCTGTCCACTTGATTTCAAAAACATATTAATTGTTTGTTCTTATCTTGTAATGAGTCGAGTTTTGATCGTACTGACGGGCAATTGCTGATTATTCTTGAAACTGAGCGATAATAATAAGCTCCCGTTCTGTGATTTGTGATTTGTCAACGCGCGATATAAATACGACGGTCAGCTCCGCTTATACAAAACACGAAAGAGGAAAACTGACCCATAGTACTAAAGTCAAGCTTCCCCACCAATCAATCCGGCGGATCAATTCCGCTTTATCGACTGCCTCACCTTCACAGCGATAATCGATGAGATATGCCACCATTCCCATTGCAAGAACGAGGACTGGTACCTGGACTAAATTTAAATAGGTTAGAAATCTAGAGTCTTCATATGAAGTCGAGATTTAAGAGTCAGACTTTACCTATGAAAGCGTACCTCCAACCTAGCCCATCTGCAAGCCATCCACCCAAAGGTGCACCTAAGGCGGCACCAGCCCCGAAACAGATATTTGCAAGTCCTTGAACCACTCCTCTTCGATTGAGCGGTACAAGATCAGACGCGATGATGCTGCTAGTGGTCATAACCCCACCACCGCCCATACCAGCCACAAAACGAGCGAGGATGAAGGAATTCATGGAAGTAGAAAGTCCGCATGCTATAGTTCCGATGGTGAATAGGGTGAGAGCTATAAAAAGTGATAAACGTCGACCAACTAAATTTGAAAGACGACCATATAAAGCTGATGTGGCTGAAAGTGAGAGGAGATACGATGTTGCTAGCCAAGAGACCTCATTCGCAGCTGAGAACGAGGAAGCTATTGAAGAACTCAAGGTTGCGACAATTGTACTATCGAGTGCTCCAAGAAAGACGCTGAGAAAACCGGGAAACCAGTAACAAGATTAGCTGATAAACTTGAAGACCGGTCAAAAAATTAGGCAATCAGAAATTAGAACTGACGCTGTCCAAGCAGCAGCAAAGATAGTGAACTTTTTATAATTTGGAAGGTCAATTGGTCTTTGACGATTTGATTGAGATTGAAGTAGTAATGGAGTAGTTTCATTATTGTCATTGAACTGATCTCTGACTTGATTACCGTCAGGCTCTTCTTCATTTCTCGTCATCGCCATCGTCTGAATCAACTTTTGTATGGTCTTGCTTCTCTCAATTCCTGAAATCAATTGGTTGAGACCCGACATCGAATCTCACGAGTCACAACTTGCTCCTTAACATTTTGCGGGGTTCGATCTCGGTACGCAGCCCTGCAAATCAAGTTTTATAACTGGGATGTTGCGCTGAGCTCAAACTTAAAACTCCCCGTGAGCCAGTACCTGAGCTGTACCAGCTCGCTCAAATTTGGGTAAATGTCCATATTTCATCTCTGAAGCAAGCCCAACTCTGCTTGAGGGCCTGAGCTTCAATGTTGTGCTCTTGGAAGTTGAATGACATCGACCTCATGGTTCGAACTCTGAGCCCCAAGTTGTTACTACATATACGTGAAAAGGTGGTCAGCTTTCGGCCCGCTTCGGCGGTGCCATACGTTAAAATTGGAACGATACAGAGAAGATTAGCATGGCCCCTGCACAAGGATGACACATGTAGTCAGAATGGATTCACCTACGGGTGAAGATTTTTTTTTCTATTGTAACATCTGAATGACTGTTATTTACATCTCTTCTTTGAGTCGACAAAGAGCCAAGTAGGAAACATCAACGTTCAGGATTGTAATAAATTTTGATCATCTCATATTTTCTTTTGGCTGCATGTCTCTTAATCAACTGATTCTTTGATATCATTTGTAAAGCACATCGGAAATATATGATCGAGATTTCATATACTATTAGAAAAGATTACAAATTGGTTCGTTTTCCGTTACAAATTTGTCTGGTAAATACACATCAACTTTTGGGAGATACCGTCTATGTAGTATTCTTCATCTTAAACACATCTCATATGTATGGAGACCATAAGCCCTAAGCCAATCAAAGAAGTCGAGGATGTATCTCAAAACTCATCTTTGTTCAAGATATAAGCTTAATTAGCAAGAGGCTCATTATAATTGTAGTCTTTAAAACATATATATATACTATTAATTGTCATGTATTTACTATCTACTGTCATGTATTTACTATCAACTGATTCAACCCAATCATCTACTACCTCTCATCCATTCTCCACTTTTACCAGTAAGTTGTTCAGATCCAAACCATTGTCCAGCTTTCCCACTACCTGGACCTAAAGGTGGTGAAGAGAGGGATTGGCCTTCAGATAAACGTCCGTGTGATAGACGAGGGCTATGAAACCAAGTAGGTGATCGACACTGTTTCATGAACAAGAAAGTCAACTTCAACTCAAAATTCCCTACGGGACGGAGATCAGTAGACATTGTATTATAATTGAGCTTGAATTCTAACCTCATAAGACGAAGACGATTTGGTCGGTGCAGAAGGTCTGCGCGGTTTAATAATGATAGGCTCAGCAGGCAGTATAAGTGACAAAGCACTTTCTTCTGAGGATTCAGATTCCTGAGGCATGGTCAAAATAGGACGACTTCGTTGACCAAGGATAGCATCCCTGAACCGAACACCAGTATGCTCGCTTTGCAGTGCTTGAAGCGCTGCACTTTCCGTAAAGGCTTGATTTTGTTCATGGAGGCTACCGCCCAAACTATTGTGCGGCACCAACTCCATGGACGATTGATTTGTCTTACTCTGGGCTGCTTGTAAAGCCCTTAGCCGAGATGACAAGTGGTGAATGTGAAGGATGTGATGTGATAATGCCTGTGTAAGTTGATGTACAGATCTGTTGATCGTGTCCAAAAATGGCGGTCTACATGATACGCACAAGTCAGTAAAATCATCTCTCGAGCTCATGAGAGGAAATCAGCGTCTTACTGCATTTGACGACGCCCCGCCTTGAGACCGACAAGTCTTGAGCGCAGCGATTCCAGGGCTACAGAAACTTGACCCGTACCAAGCTTGATATCCTGGTTTGATGTAGCAAGATCAAGTTAGGCAAGCGCCGAGTCACAATAGCACAGTAAGATATTCTCACTTGGAATGACCGGCGCATACTTTTCTGACGCGCTAATTGGACTGGACTCAGTTGACGAGATCCCAACACCCTAAAATATCCAGGATCATTGTAAGCCCGAAGGATACGCTTTATCTCGTCGTGTTTCAATTCGGCTAAGCAGGAGGTGTGCATGAGTATCCAGCGGGGGGGTAATACGTAGACAATGAGGGACAGACCCTTGGATACCCCACTCTCCAGCGTACGAACAATCTGAAAACGGGAATCTAAGCGTGCGATTTCTATCTGAGCTTGCTCAGTCAGCGAGTTCACATGTCGAGACAATGTCGGAAGATCGGCCATTTGCCATTGTTTCAGCGTATGCTGGTCAGTCGTGGAATCATGTGGCCGCAGTGGTACTTTGCAGGCTTCGATGTAGCTTTGACAGGTATGGCAGACAGAGGCGAGCTTTTAGGTTATCAAGCAATCAGACGGCGTCAATGTGTTGGTGATTTTCTCAAAGATAGTACTCACTGATTGTAATGTCGAGGAAGAGATGTCAACAACTCGCAAAATGGCTTGCTCGATCCCGACCTCAATGGAGGGAAGGGTCTCAGGTTCTGAGCTAGCTATGATCTTTGGGACAAGGGCGTGATCTAATGATGTGATGGGGAGCGAAACTGTGGCTGGTTGAGTGGAAAACGGCAGCTTCGGGTCGTGTGGTGGCGGACCCTTTGTGCCGGACGGCGATGCAACCTTGGCTGGCGAAGCAAGTAGACTCGAGGGCCCACCCATAGTGCTTTTTTGCGTGACTGAGATTGAAGAGAAGTAGCATCAGATTTTCTTTGCTTAGTCCATCATTTATATGGTTGGGGTAAAGAGAAAATTGTGATCACCTGCTGATGGTCCCTCGTTCTCTTGCGATACTAGCTTCGGCAGATTTATACCGACAGGCCCGGCCAGCTTCGCATTAGCAAGTAGACTTTTACTATTGGCGCCGCCAGGTGAATTGAAAAAAGAAAGCTTTGGACCACATTGGCCTTGTTGATCGCGAAGACCTTTTGATTCTCCGGGTCTGCTTCCAGATAAATCTGGCTTTTGGGGCGTCCCAACACCAGCTGAGGACTCTAGTAAAGTTGGCAAGGACACCGATTGGTTGATGCGCGAAGAGCTGGCGGCGGACGTTACCGAAGGATCGGAAATACTGCGACTGAGGGAAGTCGATGGTACATGAAGAACAGACGTTGCCCCCGCCAAGGAAGGCGTCTTGGATCCGACCGGTGAAGTGCTATCAAGATGTGGGCTTCGATTTCCTGTCAATGCTGATACAAAAGGCGCGGAAGAGGTGGTGTTAGCAGACGTAACCGTCTCAGTCTGCACAAACTCACCATGTGTGTTCTGCAGCGATTGCTGCGACTGTGATGAGACCCGAGGTTGATTGGAAGGAGAATCCCGCAGAGGTGCTTTGGAAGCGGTCACAAAGGTAGGTGAATCACTTGGCTCCTGCCCGTGTGAATCAATCGAAATCTTACCTTTCGATGAAGGTTCGGGAGATAGCGCGGCCTTCTTTTTGTCCTCCAGTCCCGCTGACGCCATGGATGTCAGGATCTGTGAACCCGATGGAACAGGTCTTATAGGCCAACAAACAACGGTGTTAGCGTCTGAACTAACAGCATACTTTCGATATGACTTCAACATAGAATACGAACCCGCTTGGACCTACAGAAGTGACGTCTTTGGCATGATTTTCGGGTTGTTTGAGTTCTGGATCAGTAACAGAAGCTGAGCCAGTTGTCCCACCAGGTAGACATTTAGAGGTGGATTTACCGATCCATGATTTCTCAGAGCCTGTGGCTGAAGAATGTTCGGACCCAGAGTCAGATAGAGGAGGATCGACGCCACGAGAGGGGGTTATGGATGTAGATGGGACAGCATCAGCTCGGTTGGCTTCAAGGGATCGTGAGGAGCCCCGATGTTGAGAAAATGAAAGTTCATTTCCCGAGGGCGAATTAAATGTGTTGGAAGCCTTAAACGAAGACGAGCTCCCAGCAAAAGAATTCGAATTATGCTTTGTCGCATCCACATTTCGCTCAGTTGGCGCACCAAAAATGTTGCCTGTGTCACCTTTTGAAGGCGTAGAGAAACTCGTTTCACTATTTGAGAATTGTCCAAATCCTCGACTAGCTGAAGCCCCCAATCCTGGGGTCACAGCAGTTGCTTGGGGCGATTGTAGTGAGATCGAATTTGGGATAGATGGAAGTGAAAGGTCATTCCTCAAGGAAGAACCAACAGTGGCGAAAGCTTTAGACGAAGAGAGGGTGGCAGGAGGAGTACCCAAAATAGCATTCGTCGCAGAAGTCGCATTCCCCTTACCGGAATCAGTTTCACTTGGAAAGGTAGGTATTGGCCCACCAGAGATGTCGGCTGTCCTGCATTTTGAAGGCGTAGAGAAACTCGATCCGCTGTTAGAGAATTGGCCAACTGCTTGACTACCTGAAGCCCCCAGCCCTTGAGTTTCAGCTGAGGCTTGGGGCGATTGGGGTGAGGTCGGATTTGGAGTAGATGGAAGTGAAAGTTCATTCTTCAAAGACGAACCAACAGTGGGGAAAACATTAGACGAGCTCCCAGGAGGGGTACTCATGGCATTCGTCGTAGAAGCCCGGTCTCCTTCATTGGAAGCAATTACACTCGGTGAGGTCGGTGATGGCCTACCAAAAATGTTGACTGTCTCACCTTTCGAAGGGGTAGAAAAACTTGATCCACTATTAGAGAATTGTCCAAATCCTCGACTAGCTGAAAGCCCCAATCCCGGGGTCACAGCGGGGGCTTGGGGTGATTGTGATGAGGCCGCATTTGGAATGGATGGAACTGAAAGCTCATTCCTCAAGGGCGACCCGAAAGTGGTAAGAACTTTAGACGGAGATGAGCTCGCAGGAGGAGTACCCTTAATAGTACTCGTCGCAGAAGCTGCAGTTCCTTTATTGGAAGCAATTTCACTCGGTGAGGCAGGTGTTGAACCATTAAAAATGTCGGCCGTGTCACCTTTTGATGGCGTAGAGAAAGTTGATCCACTTTTGGAGAATTGACCAAATCCTCGACTAACTGAAGCCCCCAATTTGGGTGTCTCGGCTGTATTTTGAGGTGAGCGTGGCGAGGCTTGAAGCGGAGTAGTTGGAAGCGAAATTTCATTTCTCAAGGGTGAACCAACAGTGGCGGAAACTTTGGGCGAAGACGAGCTCTCGGGAACTGTATTGTGATCATCATTTGTCGCAGCCGGATTTACCTCATCGGAAGCATTTTCATTCGGTAAGGTAGATGTTGATTCACCAAAAATGGCGCCTGCTTTCCCTTTTGAAGGCGTAGAGAAACTCGATTCACTATTAGAGAATTGTTCAAACCCTCGACCAGTTGAAGACCGCAATTCTTGAGTCTCGGCCGTAGTTTGGGGCGATCGCGGGGAGGCCGGAGGGGGAGTAGATGGAATTGAAAGTTCATTCCTCAAGGGCGAACCAAAAGTGGCGAGAACCTTAGACGACGCGGGGGTTGCAGAAAGTGAAGTCTGACCATCATTTGTCGCAAGCGCATCCCCCTCATCGGAAGTCACTTCGCCCGAGGAAGTAGGTTCTGCCCCACCAGAGATGTCACCGGTCTCAACATTCGAAGTTTTAGAGATACTCGGACCAATTTCGACGACTTGTGCAACTCCCTGGACAGCGGGAGCCTCCGATTCTTCGGTCTCGTCAGCTATGGTTTGGGACGTTTGCAAGCGTTCGGATGATGTAGGGATGCTCGAGCCACCAACTTGTAAAGCAGAAAGGGATATGGTGGTAGACGCATCAGGACTGCTAGGTGTAGGTACATCAGAAGCGACATTCTGCTCAGGAGAAGCACTGGTACTCGAGGTGCTGGATTCTGGCTCCCCTTGCTCGGAACCTGAATCCGCGATTTCCTCAGTAATGACTGTTGTTTGCACAGATGAACCCAAGGGAGCGGAGTTACCGAATTGTAACCCAGATAGAGAAATTTCTGTAGGCTCATCAGGACTAGTAGATGCAAGCTCCTGGGCGAAACCATCCTCGGGAGCAATAGTCTCAGATGAAGGAATGACGGGGGACGTAGGCGTTATGTCAGTCTCTGTAACTTCGGCTTGTGTTTGCGGTGGCGATGTCAAAGAGCCACGAAGCTGAGTGAATGACACAGTGTTTCCTGGCGCAGACACTGCTGCAAAAGAAAGTGGACCATTCGAAGTCGAGTTTCCGGAAAAACTGCCAATAGGGGTTGCACAGGATGGTCGTTGTGGGGTTGAACTATTGTTGTCGCTAGCTCCCCAGAGGGCAGGAGTAACTGCATTCTCCCTGGGAATATTCGTGGTACTTGATGGAGTGGAAGTTGAAGCTTCAAAGATATTGCTAACACCAGCAGACGAATCAGTAAGACCGCCTGCACCTAGTTGAAGAGACGAAGAGGCGTTGTTGAATTGTGCAAATCCGCCAGTACTTTTTGAGCCTAAAGTGCTTGCTCCAGCAGTTTCTTGCAACGTTGTAGTTGAACCTGGATTAGCAAATGCAGCGAAGCCGACTGGAGTGGTAGATGAAAAACTGGAAAAGGATGTACTAGCTGGTGCAATAGTACTTGTAGAGCCAGGCTGTGTGGCCTGTCCGCTGCCGAAGACAGATGTGTTGGCTGATTGTCCAAAGGCCGATGAACCAAAGCCAGATTGACCAAAACCGGGTTGACCACTGGAAAAGGGTGTACTGGCTGCTAGGGGAGTACTGGTAGAAGCAGGCTGTCCAAAACTGGTCTGCGGGGTACCGAAGGCCGATGTGCTAGCTGATAGAGGTTTGGTGCCAAATGCCGAAGGTCCAAAAGACGTTTGACCGAAAGCGGTTTGACTACTAGAAAAGGGTGTACCGGTTGGTGCAACAGTACTTTTAGGCGCCGGTGGTCCAAAAGTGGCATGTCCGGTTCCGAAGACAGATGTGCTAGCTGATTGAGATTGGGTACCAAACGTAGACTGTCCAAATGCCGATTGACCAAAGGCTGATTGTTGGCCAAAAACTGTTTGACCAAAAGCCGCGGTACCTTGAGATGGTTGACCAAAGGCCGAAACTGGCGTAGCCTGTCCCGAGGAAAATGCAGAGCTTGTCGAGGCTACAGGACCGAAAGCAGTTGTCTGTTGTTGAGGAGCTGAGTTACGTTCAGGCGGATTGTTGGATGGACTTTTTGTCTGATCAGCGGGTGGTGAGTCAATTCCAGAATCCATTGACAAAACCTCCTGGTCCATCGCAGGAGCAACCCAAACTGGAGGATCGCCTTGTCCTTCAGGCGCGCTTAGTTGGGTACTCCATAGACTAAGAACACCATCGGTTGTGTAAGACCAAATTATCGAACATGTGGGTGTTGAAAAGGTAGCAGCCACCCCAAGAGGTGAAGCAGGTTCGCAAGACTCTTCCGAAGAAGGGATCTCCAAACGATGATCTTCGCTTAAAATCAATAGTGATGGTTCCGATGCATCTTCGAAACCAATGATACCCAACTCAGTGCTATTTGATAAAGAGACGATAATCAGATATCGCCAAGTTGCAGGAGAACAACTAGGTAATCTTGTCATTAATCGATTGGGACTTGTTTCTAGTACTCCTTGCGCAGGTGTAGGATCTGGACATAATCGAAATGAATAATCGATTGGCGCCGTCTGTTTCTTGACATGGAGGGCAAAAGTCTCGGTGGCTAACTCGTCAAAACCTTCTTTGGCGACTTGTTCGCAGAAAGTGATGATATAATCCTTCTGATCGATCCATTTGATATGAAGTACTGCATTTTCCCACAATGAGATACATCATGGTTCATGAGCTAAGATCATCCTAGAAATTTTTCAAATAGTGTTCACTCACCCTCCATACCTTCCGCCTGTGCTGGAGCTTCGATCACTCCCTTGGATTGCCCATCATGTGTGAAATATTCGAGTTTTCCGTCTTTGTAGCCCACAATTAGTCGTTTGCCCATAGGACTCCATTCAGCGGCAGTAATTGATTGAGCTTCCCAATGAACCTTTTGAACATCGTATAAATCAAGTACTCTGATAGTTGAATCGGCGTAGACCACAGCTATCAATCCCGAAAAACTTCCACCAGGTGCCGGGTTAGGAATCAAAGCTTGAACTGGAATATTCGAATGAGCAGTTAACTTTCGTAATGGAGTGATGTTGGTCTTGCTTATAAGATTTTGTAATGAGAAAATTGATAAAGTCCCATCAGAAGTAGCAGCCACAATCAAACGATCGGAAGCAGCGAACGCCAAGTGAGTCAGAAACACTGAATTCGGGTCACAAAAAGTTGAGATCGGTATCGTAACATGGGCGTCTTGTGAGGTGATCCAAGTATTGACATGTGGTTCTGCATTTTTTAAACTTTGTGAAAGTTTTTCAACGCGAGTGAGTATAAATGCAGGACCAGATTGATCATTTTCGAAAGATTGAATAGCTATAATCGCCCATCCGAATTGATTCGAAATGGCAAATAGACAAGATCGAATGTTCGACTGAGGTATGAAAGGTGTGGATAGTCGAAGATGTGCTCCAACGTTGAAGGGTTTGACTAATAAAGTGTCCTAAGACCAATCAATCAAGTGAATATGAATTTTTATTTCTTCATAAGTGAATTTGATCAATGTGCTAACCTGAACGTCCTTCTCAAGCAAGTCCATCATGTTCTGGTCATCAAGTTTTACAATTCTAGTGGACGGTCAAAGGGGTGAATTGCTGATCGACAATTGCAAGTTGGTTTTAACTTTTTAGCATTCATTCATCCTTGAAACTGTACCGTGTCTGATTCAACACCCGACCTTTGAAGAGGCACCGGATCTTGGGCCGGTACATAACACCGTCGATGTGCAAGTGCCATTCCAAAAATCCTCAATCTCAATCTCAAGAGCACTTGTAGGATTCTCATGTTTCAATTTTGAATTAAATGATTTCAATGTCATCAAATAGCACACATACACGTGAAGTCAAGTTATGATTATCCATCAGCAATCTTGAATGACCTCCTAACAAGCACCTCCCAAGGTATTCAATCATAGGGAACACGTAAATACATAAGACATAAAGCAAGTGGTGATCAATACCGCTTAAGATTGCATTATGTACTACATTCAAACACATTGATTTTCATGTGATTCAAGAAACATGAAAAACAACTTGCCAGTAAGCAGTAAGAAACCAATGATGAGTTTTGTTTTGTTACATATCCATTCAAACACACATCCACTTTAATCAGCTTCAATATCATCTTGAGTAGGTCGATCCAAGACAGCTCTTTTCTGTAATCTAACCTTGGATTGTAATCTGAGATGTGAAACTAATGGAGCTTTAGAAGATTCCGATGAGTTTTCTAAAAACCTTTCAATTTGTGATCTATCAGATGGACCAAAACTTAAACCTGTTCTACATTCTTCAATCCAAGAAGAATTCGCTTCAAGTTTTTCTACTAACACTCGGATTTGACTGGCTAAATTACGATTGGATGCTGTTTTTCCAAATCGTCTTAGCGTCACTATGGCTGGTAAAGCTAGTTCTGGGAATGCAATCGATTTGGATTGACAAGTGTAGTATTCGAGTAAAAGGAAAATCGTTTCGTTGGCTACTGTGTCGGCATAAGCTCGGGTATGTTCGTATTGTTTTGGGCATCGAACAAGGTACTCGAGATCAAGTGGCTTCAGGTTGCTTGGTTTGGGTCGACGTTGGAAGAGTGCAGAGTCTACTGTGTCAAAGAGGAATGGTGCTAGCGGAATAAAAGTACCGGTTCGTTGCATGATCCGTAGAAGTAGACGAGCACAATGTAATCGCAATGGGAAATATCGCGAAGTTGGAATCAATCTGGCAACAGGCATTTCGGTAAGTCAACAACTAAAAAAAACTTCCAAGACAACTAAATCTTACTTCATGACACCTGTGGTGATCTGGACCAAAGGGTATATCAAAGGTTGAAGTGGTGAGGGTGTCTTGCTAGAGTTAGCTGTGTCGCATGCGGTCGAAAGAACAAGAGACCAAAAGTCTAGACTATGGATGTATTGCCAGTTGTATACGGCTTGGAATCCCTCCTAAAACAGACGGTGCTTCAGTCAAAGTAAGCAAATAATTCACGAGCTTATAACTTACCTTTGTCTTGATCTTCATGCTGTTCCTCAGATGAATTGCCAGTTGGCGAATATAACTAAAGATGATTGGATATGCCGCTTCTTGATTGAGGAGAAACAGTTCCGATGCAGAGTTCTTCATAAGATTGATGGCTGGTAAAGTGAATGTGGCGGTATGTTTTGAAGCGCGGATCAGATTGGTATACACGCCCTGAACCGCACTACGAGTCAGCGAGGGATACAATCACTTGATGATAAAACATAAGCTCACCTTCATCAGAGATTCTTTGGTTGTATCGGCTGATGCGACAGCCAATCTACGCAGGGCCAGGAAAGACGCCATTCGAATCTGATCATCGGCAGTTGACCACAATTCTAACAAGGCCTAAAAATCAATGTGACATCAGGATAAGCATGTAAAATGGAGTCGATCAATGTGGTGTATTTAACATACCTTGGTCCAGTTTTGAACGATCTTGCGATTGTTAATGATCCATGGGGTCAGTTTAGCACTCTCTCGGACCGCCTGCTGTATCATGCTTTCATTTTCATCACCCTTGCCTTCACTAGATCTCGAAGGCAATTGTGAGATGAGCTCGAGTAAAGAGGAGAAATATGACTTCAAGATCCGTTGCACACTAGCATGCATCTTGCTGTTTGAAGCCACTTTGCTGTAGCGATGATCAAAGCGTCAATATCATGATCATGCCTAAATCACAAGGGACAAGACCACCCACAATTTGCCATTGGGCAACTCCTTGGCCGGTACCGTCAAATTCATGAACACGGGGATGTATCGGAAAGTAGTCGAAACCAAAGAATTGAATACTATGTTGCACATCACAAGCGACATCAGTACATGTATGAATGCACAAGATGAACGTAAGGCGCACATGTAGAGGATTCGATGCTGAAGGGAAGTTGGAGTTCTCCGTCTGTTTGTTTTGCGCTGAATGCTGCAGACCTGAATGCCAGCAACAGTTTCCGCAAAGCACGTATTGATTTGGTCTGATCAAGTTTCAGAAAATCACTAACGTCAGTCTTGTTATTACTGAGAGACTAGATTGCAAAACAGAGTTCATACTGACTTCAATGATTGACTTCTGCCAGCTTCGAAGAAGCTCACGGGTAAGCACAGTCGCAACATGAGCCTCTGCTTTGTTGTCTTCGTCGTCATCTGATAGGTCTTCATCATCAGATTCATTTTCTTCCGCATCATCTGCATCCATCTTGTCTGCATCAAAGTTGAGCAGTTCACGATCATTCTCTTCTAAATATTTGTAGAACTCTGGGTCTTTTTCCTTCAAGGCCTTAAGGTCCATTCCAGTGCTCAAGGAACCTATTGAATTGTGAGATGTGGTCAGGCAGGAAATGTACGGTCGAATTTGGCTTAAATTTACCTTCCGCACTAGCTAAAGATTTCAAGTCGTCATCATCGCTTGAGAAACCGTCTTCGTTTTCACTTTCACCGCCATCAGCTAATCCTTCTGCGTTAAGTAAGGCATCCAAAGACATATCGAGTCTGAAATCCATGGCAGTTAAATGAGATAATGTAAGCAGGAGGCTTCGAATATGCTAGCTAGCGAGTGACAAAAGCACACCTGGGCCGAGTTGAAATGGGATCCTCGTCATCATCGTCGTCGTTTCCACCTTCAGCATCATCATCATCGCTTCCGGCAGGTTTTGTAGTTGATTTAGGACCATGACCACGACCTGATTTCATAGACCGAGCCTGTTTACGACCTTCTATCTCTTGCTTTTTGGCTTGTTGTTTACGACGAGCTTTAAGGGTATGATCTAAATGATTCTTGGTGAACTTCTTGGTTCTTTTGGCTACTTTTTTACCTCCCATGGTTCGGTTTGAAGTGCTGAGCTTGTTCTTCTGGTTTGAGAAATCAAATGTTCGAATCCAAAAAAAAATCACATGTGAAAGATTAACCACTGATCTCATTCAATACTAGCATATTAGTCTTCTACTACATACCTGTCGGATAGTAATAGTACAAGTACCGTGCTTGCTCATGTAACTCGGCTCGGATCAGCCTCGAGTCAGGACTCAGAGTGGTGCTTCTGTTGTTGGAGAGACTGAGGAAGGGAACTACTATGAGGATGAACAGCAAATGAAGGATGAATCAACCAACTCACTAATCACTCAGACTATTTAACTCAGTACCAACCATCAAGCATCAAATTGGTTTTTGAATGAATGGCAACAAATCAAAAACCCTCCAAACAGACATCAAATTCAGATCTTATAATCTTACTTAAATCAGGATTAGCCGGTGGAATTGCAGGATGTGTTGCTAAGACTATCGTTTCTCCTTTAGATCGAGTCAAGATTTTATTTCAAACTGCACATCCACAATTCTCTCATCATTCAGGTTCGATTACTGGTGTGTTTGGTGCGATTCGTCAGATTTATTCATCAGTTGGGTTCTTGGGTTTGGTTCAAGGTCATAGTGCAACACTCTTACGGTGAGTTATCGACACTTTTGATGTAGGTTAGAGAAAGAAGACTGATGTGACGAATTTTTATATTAGGATCTTCCCATATGCAGCTATCAAATTCATGGCATATGATAGTTTTCACAATCTTTTAATTCCGGTTCATTTACGAGATCGACCACCTTCATCACGTCTTTTCATGGCTGGAGCACTCAGTGGGATCACAGCTGTCTTTTTTACATATCCTTTGGATTTGTTGAGAGTTCGATTAGCATTTGAAACTAAACAAGGTTCATCAAGGGTTAAAATATTGGATACCATTCGCGATATTTATACCGAACCTGCTAAAGTTGGACATTCGGCATCTAATCGATTATTCAATAATGTACCCTTCACCAAGTTCTATCGAGGGTTCACTCCCACACTCTCGGGTCAGTCTCAATCTTTCATTCTGCTTTGATCCTTCACTTATTCTACAATGTTCAATATGTCTATCACAGGAATGATTCCATACGCAGGCACCTCTTTTCTAGTATGGGGTACACTTCAATCCAAACTCTTACCAAACCAAAGATCGTCCAATACGATCCTCAACCTATTATGTGGTTCAGTAGCTGGTTTGATCTCTCAAACCGCTTCATATCCTTTCGAGATCGTCAGAAGAAAGATGCAAATCGGTGGTCTAGGTTTATCTCCAGTCATGAACATGTCACAAGTTGCTCGTCAAATTTTCCTCACTGATGGATTTAAGGGATTCTTTGTTGGTTTAAGTATCGGTTATCTTAAAGTCATCCCAATGACAGCTATCAGTTTTGTAACTTGGTCTACTCTCAAGATTCGTTTTGAATAAATCTCGTGTTTTTTTCTGGTTTTGCTGGCTGGTGTTCTGTATCCTACCTCCTTTCTTCTCGTCGTCTCATTTTTTTTCTTGTAGTTAAACTCGCATTTTTTCATCGTTGTGGTCAAGGCTGGTTTGTATGACCTTCAAACGTTGTATTACAAGATTGTGTGTGATAGGTACCGTTGTTCCCTAACAGACATTCTAAAGTTGATCAGCAAAGTATTGGCGACTAATCAGTGAAAGTACGGATCTGTGGATCCTTGTAAAGAATGTAGACTTGATTGATCGTTTTGTATTTGATGATTCCTTGGTTCAGCCACGGTAATAGGAAGACAAGTCAGAAGGTTGGCGGGTAGATATAATTTAAGACGACGTAAATATCATGGAATTTGGGTGTGCGTCTGTTTGCGTTGTGGCGAATGTCCCAAGGCGATGATGATGACGAGGTGACGGTGGTCAGAAACCTACACCCGATGCACATCTAGTGAGCACTTCTCTGGATGATCAATCGCCGAAAGACTGCATATGGTACTGCTACAATGATGGCGCCTAACGTCGGGAAGATCACACGTCATTGAAATCAGCTTGTAGCTTCAGATCTGAACTTCAAAGTCAACCAATGTCTTTGAGCTTTTTGTTGCTTTATTTTCAGCTTTGTTTTTCAAGGGTTTCTCTTTCAACTCTTTTGACTTCGGGGGGTTTCATCATCATCATCTTTCTTGCACTACTTTTTATTTATACTCATCTGTTGATTCCATCAATCTGTGAATTATTTCAAAATACTGCGACTTGAGTTTGCGGTTTTTTACTTTCTCTGGTCAATTGTTCCTCTTGTTATCAATTCTCTAAATTATCTTTGACTCGACGTTCAATATCAATGATCAAAATGCCTTCATAATCTTTCAGTGTTCTCTGCATTGTAGCTTTCTTTCATCTCACATTTATTGGGTTCTGACTCATTGGGTTCCTTAGCTTTTTGTCTTTATTTTTTTCGCTTTCCTTCGTCTTACTTGTAACTTATCACTTGTTTTGACCGTAACGTGAAACTCTTATTTCTCTGTAGCATAATTGTTGACTGTGTCATTGAACTCCATGGTATAAAAATATTCAAAGTAACGATATCCTGTTGATATCAAACAGGCGGTCCAAGTTTCCCCGCAAAGCAGAAGGAAATTGGGGCTGCAACATAAATTTTTGGTAAGCTTTGCAAGATCGACATCATTTACCACGTAATATCACAGTCGTCACGTCCTGTCACGTCGGATGTTTGAGAATGTTTGGATCGGAGATATGTCCATGGCGGACGCCGATGATACTATCTGAGACCGCAAGTGATTGCAGTTTGCACAGTCTGTAGCTTGTTTGATCTTCTGTCCAGACTCCAAGCTGTGGTGAACATCATCTTCTTTTAACGAAACCAAGCAAGTAGGAAGATGATACCTTTATATTCACAATACCCTTATCAATTGGGTCAAAGATTAATCGTATGTCCATTATTATCGCTCATGTTAGAGATTCGACGTTAACGACCCGAATCCTTTCCATGTCTCATCATGGAACAGCCAGCCAAAACCCAACTCATCTCACTCATCCCACCAGCTATCTTCTACTCAGTCACTCCCATCATGACCAATTTGATCAAGTACGATAACAAAAAGTGGCAAGATTCTTTATGCAACATCAGAGAACAACTCGACTACATATTGAATGCTTCAAGTAGAAATCCTGAAAAGTTGATAATTATCATCCTTTCATTTCGTCTATCACCTACATCTGATATGGGTGATTGGTCAACTGTACCTCCCGAAGGAAGGCTAGAAATCTTATCTGCTATCAATGCAAGCGCTGATGGTGACTTATTCAAGTCGTTGGCTTCCCAGAAAACTTGGATTGTCATTCTTGAAGCCTGGTTAGATCAATTGATGCTCATCGAATTGAAAACGCAAAGATACCTAAAAGTAGCACCTTTTCAACAAAGGATGTTATATTGAAGAATACCTTATTACTTTCCCTGCTAAAGGTTTGTCCCCCCCAAAAAAATCCATCAATTTCAAAGATACAGTATTGCATTGTATATGCTCTGCTCCATTGTCTAATATTTGATTATCCTCATCTCCTCGATGATTTTGGATCATTTTCAGATGTTCAGAAGAATACCAATTACATTAGAGATTCTCAAGAATTACACCTTTGCCACAAAGGTGATGCAGATCAACAAGAATTCTACTTCTCACCGTTTCTCAGATAGTTGAGTACAGCACAATCTGCCTGCCCCTGAAATCCTTCCAGAAATCTCAAATTTCATCTTGTTCTCAGTATTGACTAATCGCTTCATGATTTCAAGATGCCAACGTCTTGGCTGGCAAATTGGTGCACGAGTGGCGGCAGATGGTGAAGCTTGAAAAGACTCGGGTTGATAAGATCACCAATGAGTTATCTACACGTCCAAAAATTCCACACAAACCAACAAGATATCTAACCTTTCCAGGTATTTCAAGCCAGGAACTATACTATGTTTCAGGCAATTGCTTACCTTGATTTCTATCCCCCAATTTTATAGTTCAAATCCATAAGCCAGCGATCAACAGTAATACCAGCATGTCAACTACAATGAAGAATTTGACCCCAAGAGTATCCAGGAGGACCATAGACACATTGGAAACACCTAGATCATTTGTTTTATCCAAGTTTAACCCTCAGAGACCCCCGACACCCAAGGATACCCCCTCAAAAGCAACACAATCTCCCCACCGGGTCCGAGGAAAACCAAGTCTGAAAGCTAGTCTGAAAGATATGAACACTAGACTACTCTCTTCATCCTTACAAGATCCTGGCAAGGAAAGAAAGGTTAAACAAGCTAGGTTTGCTAGTGATGGTGAGTTATGTAAGATGATCATCTTTGAGACCTTGGAATGATATTTGTCTATATTGTACTATTTTATTTTTTGCTTCCAAAGAGGGTTTTTAAGTTGGTCTTCGTCAGTTTGGTAAAAGATAAGCCTGTGGTTTTTTTATCGGTTATCCCGGATGTCTTTTGTATTTGCATAGGATTCAGTGGTCAAGGATGTATGTAGAACATGAATTTAGTCAAGGCTAGGAAGCTTTATGGGTACCAGTTTATTTTCGAAAGTGATGTTGTATGTCTAGTAGATCACCAATTTGATGAATTGTCAAGCCAATCAAGAATCTTGTCTCGGGATTGAGTTTTCACCATTTGCTTGCTTTTTCTAACACTGTGGCACGTGTGATGTTACGTTCAGTGATGGGGGTGGCTCACATCTTACACAACTCCAGTAAAAATTCTCTGACCTCAAAGAGTCCATTTTTTGATGAGTTACAAATTAGGGTAGTTCTGGAATACTTGTGTTCTCTTGTAACAAAACAAAGCATTTTCGCAACATGTGTTGTTAAACCCACTCAAAGTGACCGCATTGAGATTATTTATCACAGATAAGAATTCCTTTCAAATAGCAAATACGACATGTAACAGCTGTTAAACTTTACCCCAAACAAGACACAGATTGTATCTATATAAAAAAAAATCCGACGAAGTGCTTATTCACGAATTATCTAGAGCCCCAAACCTACTCGATCTCTACTAATTCCTCCAACTATCGCAATTGGTTCGGTGAGTAAACTAAAAACGAAAGTGAAACAATAAATGAAAGAACGGAATGTCAAAGCAGACCAATAGAGATACTTAAAAATTAATGAAATCCATGCAGAATGAATGGCAACATTGATACGAAGAAAGAATGATATGCGGATGAAAGTCGTAAAACACAAGAAAAATTGTTGTAAATAAAGACACTAAAATATACACAAACGCGATTATATATATATATATATAAAGCGTTTGAAATCGGCTTTCTCTAGGAACGACGAATGCAAAAATCTGGTCTGATATTCTTGTTGCGAAAATCAAGACCCTAGTGAAGGCATTTGGAAACGAAAGCTTGAGCGAAGCCTACTCTGGAAGTTGATGAGTTTGATCAAAGTCGTGATCAATTTTGACGAGAAGAAGCCGCATATGGATGTGTGTAGAGAGAGCGTTGAGCAGCAGCCGAGTAGGGATGCGGGGCTAGAGAGTGAGAAGAAGTCGCATAGGGATGTGGTTCTAGAGGAGGGTCGGCGGGAGGAGTGTATTTTTGACTAGAGGAAAAATTCAAACCAAAGATTGTTAGATAGAGATAGAAGATTGGTCAAGGAATTGAGACCAACCTTAGGGGTGCACCAGAAATGAGTTCAGTCCTGGATTGTGGTTCGTTTGCGTACACATACCCGGGCGGGGGAGCGCCGTAAGTTTCTCGTTCTTGCGTGACCGGGTCAGAAAGAGGTGGGGCATGGTAGAGCGGTTGTGGGTTGTAGACAGGCCGATCACAGGATACATTAGGCGTCACATTCGAGGGACAAGGTGCAATTGCTGTCTGAGGTTGGGTTTGACCGTGGTAGCGCTAAAATCGTCAAAGGTGAAGGTTTGTTAATTTACAGAAGTTATGAAGACATGAAGAAAACAATGATAAAACTTATACTGACGGCAGAGACGCTCTGGGTCTGCCTGGACCGATATATACGTCGGAAGAGATATGAGAGACCAGTGAGAAGGATGGCACCGCAGATCGAGATGGCTGCTGCGATAGATAGACGGATGCCATATGAGAGTCCCTCGCAAATGGTCCGACCAGTGTGGGAATCGTAGTGGCAGCTAGCTGATACTTCATGGACCAAGATGAGAATGACGATGATAGGTAGGTATTTATTTTTCTTGTCAATCAAAGTAGACAGCATGATTGAATGATCGACTGAATGAGTGAAGCGTTTGTTGTAATCGTGGTGGTAGTGATTCCTAGTGGCTATTGTTCCTGTGGATTTGGTTAAATGTGGCGATGGTCTTGAGAATTTCTGCACGATGAAGATGAGGAAAATATGTAAAGTAAAAGTACAGCTGATAAGCTATTATTCTGTATTTTGGCGCGCAAACTTGGTTCAATTGTATTGCCGTGCAAAATACCGACCAGAATCATCGGAGAAAATCGATAGTATTAAATCACTTTCGGTTCACACGTCGATAGAATCATCCTATCGAAACATTTTGACACCATGATGGGAAAAGCTCATGACTCGAAAGCTCTCAAAAGACGTGCTGAAGGTTTCCCATTCAAACCATCACTGGCACCGTGTAGCGACGTGTACATGACATCAGTCGCCAGTTCGCATCAGTACAATGGGTCCTGCATGAGAGTTTGCCAGTTTTTGAAGGGAGTTATGTGAAGCACCCCCACGGTCCACCTCACACCATCAAGCCTTGAGGTATCCACTGTGATTGCTATCTGTGCGCTTTATAATCTTGGGTTTTTCCAATCAGGAGCTCAGTCTGAAGTAGAGGACTTACCCTTTGAATTGAAAAGATCTGGTTTTATTCAATCCTTCATCTTGAATTTTGAAAGGTTTCATTTAAGATTTTGGTCCAAGATTTGATCCCAGTGAAAAAGGTAGTCCACAGTGGATGAAGTAACTTATCAATCTCGTCGAGTTTCTTTGCTGTTGGGGAGGTATATTTCTGCAGTAACACGCACAAATGGCTTTTGCATCCACTTCTACATCAGCAAGATAGTTAATTGATCATACTTCACTCATATCATCTTGAGGCACTTTTAAGTTCTTGTGGATTTGGTTGATTGATAGATACAAAGATCGCTACAAGATTCATGACGAACTTCATGTCTACATGTTCCGCCAAGGTCCGGACCCAAAAACTCATGATATGTACATGGAAATTGACCATTGAATGTCTTGCAAGTCACCAGAAGAATAGCAGCTGCATTTGTAGAATTACGTGCAGGTTGCGGGGCGATGCATCTTTACCTTTTGTTCTCATTTGCATCAGAATCAAAAGAAAGATCAAGACAAGAAATCAAACTCGGATCTGTTGTGTCACGTTCCCTCAACAATCCAAAGATTTGGACATGGTAAAATTGTCTCTTGGGTGCTGAAGACCATTGTGTACTATCTGTTATATATAACTGTGGGGAAGAATATATGCAAAGAGGAATCATAGTAGGTTGACCCTTGACAGCTCAGCAAAGCAAATAATGCATCTCCTGCCTCCCAATCAATGGACAACAAAATGATTGCTCTTAACAAAGGTTTGATCACTGATTTCACAATGATAATGAAGTTGTGTTAGATCCACTCTCACACCACCCATGTTTTGGTAGAATACTGTGCTAGTTTCTTTCATTTTTGACCATGGATGTGGCATTGAACTGGTCCAACTAGATCACAATATGGACATCCAGAGGGTGGGTTTCCACTTTCGCTGGCATCAATGGCTTCGACCAAAGGCCCATCAGCCACTGTCATTTCTTCTTCGCTCTTGACACTGTGAATAATCGAACTAAAAGCTTGATTGAAGGCTACAAATGCCATGAAGATTGCTGCAAAGATGCTGAGTTTCATGATTATATCTAATTGGGTGACCAAGTTTTAGATACCAAAAATTGCGAAGAAGATTTGGTTGAATATTTCAATACTCACCTGGATTCTAAAGCCACAGGATTTAAAAGATTGTGTGTGGTTGGGTTTCTGGTGCAAAGTGATGGTATCTAGGCCAAGCAAAAGAGTGAAGTAGGGGACCATAAAGTATGAGCTTGGTTCATGTCTTTCAAGAAATCCTAAAATTGGCTGATGAAAATGTTGAGAAACATACCCAGGCAAGTGTGCAGGTTAGAAAAACAACTCAGTAGGATGATTGGATAGGGAGCAAATTCTCAGCAAATTGGTCGGCCTTTTATGTTTTTTAAAGACCGCCTGAGTTGCTGTCCGTCCAACTCTTTCCAACCATTGTGCCATTGATCATAATGCTGTGCTTGTTTGTATCACCTTCTGCAGAACCTTATCATGTTGACTTACAACATGTGACCATGCTGAAGTCTTGTATTGTGGAGAAGCTGGTTGAGGGGTTGCTTGACAAATGTCTCTGACAAGTTCTAGTCTCCACTTGCTTCACATTCTGGTGGGCACAGATCCAGTCCTTCATTGTGGAGAAGATGATTGTCATGTAACAAGTACACCCTTCAATACCTCACAACTTGTTTTTTCTTTCCGCTCAGATTGCGTAAACCAATTGGTGTTTGTAGTTCTCTTTGCTTTGCATGCAAAGTGTGATTATTGATCAAAGGTCAGGAGGAAAGCTATTGACCCTGCCACATTGATCAAAATTGATGTACACATCCCCACACCTAGGATTTGTAATCATCGGGTTCACAACAGGCCCCGGCCCCGCCGCTGCAGAACTTGAATGATTACGTAAACCACTTGGAGGGGACTGTACATGTATTGGTTGACTTGCCTGGAATCAAGACATTGGGGATCAATGGGTTTGAAACACAATTGAAGAAAGATGCATGGACTGGGCTTGCAACTTGAATCTTTGATCTCTGCTTTCTTCATGTCTTGGTGGTTGCAGATTGATTTTTGTATTGTGAGAAGCTGATGGCTGTGTACAACACCACCACGCTCCTATAGATGTATTATTGGCAAGCAGGGCAATCCAGCACTAGACCTAGTGCCCAAATTGCTCTGCTCTAAATTTTGTGTTGCTATGACTTTCCAAAGCAGTGCAACAGTCCGCGCCTATGGTTGCATTGACAACATGAGTTAGTGCCAGTTCAACACTAAATCATATACAGGTCCATAGTGGACCTGTTTTAGGCTTGCAGTCTGTATGACTGCATCAAATCTTGCATCCCACTTGTTCAAATCTTGCATCACACTTGTTCAAATCTACGCAAGCCTACAACTTGATGTAATAAGGGGTTTCAAGTTTGGATTTTTTTTGCATATTTCTTAAAAATTTGGGCAAGTGTTTTGTAAAACTAACACCGCTGTAATCTGAGACACCTTTCTGGGTGTCCTGCTGTAAAACAATTACACATATTTTACAAAAACAGGAAAGTTGTTGTAGCATAAAAATGCGTAAAAACCTTCAACTTGAAACCCCCTATTGTAGACTTTTGGTGCAAAAAATTGGTCAACAGCCACCAATACACATGCATCCAGCTCAGCACTCATTGCTTTCACTTGAAATCTTCCCTCTGGCCTCAAGGTTTCAGTATCTCAAAAGTCCTTGCCTGCTCAGAACTTGCTAACAAGCATTTTTTTGTAAAAAAAGATCTCCATGATCGATGTTAAGACCCTGATGATGTGAAGGGGACAAGAAGGCAAAGGTGACCGTAGAGTGATAAGTGGATTGCAACGTGAGGAAGCAGAAGTACAACATGGTTGAGCAGCTAGTATGGTTGCTAGTGCCAACAAGCGTCAAATCTTGGACCGGATATTTATCAAAAACTACACTTCAAGACAAGATTTAGTTATGTTGTAGAAACCAACTAAAACAAGAAGTTCAAATATTGAACTTCCAATGGCATATCTGGATTGCCACTAATGTCAGGAGTCCAACAGTATCCTTGGCTCCCAAATTCAGTGAGTTTTGTGGCTCGGCCTCAAGTTGGCCAAGTCATACTCGCTGGTCCAACCTTTGACGCTTCTTGGCACTACCAACCATAGTATCAAAAGTCTGACAGCCCTGTATAAGCATAAACCCTCTATTAGGCTGATTACATCATTTCACCAAGATAAAACAAGATGCGAGAAAGCTTGTTGCTCATTGTCAACACTTGAAGCCTTGAGTTTGATTCTGTATGGTCAGCAAGGTGATCATTGGCATACAAGTGGGTTGGATGTGGTTCAGTGAGATACTTTATTTTGATTCTTGACTTTGCCATAGCATATAAAGTGTTTTAAGAATGGATCATTGTTGGTAAATCAGACGGTAAATCATCCCATTGTGGATTTTATGCTCTTAACAATTTAGTTCCTACACACATAATTAAATTTTGCGGTTGGGACCACAGTGTTGGAACAAAGTACATTCACGTTAACAACATATATTTCCATTTAAACATTAACAATGATTGAACACATGTAATGAACTTTGTCATGTTATCATACTCACGAACTATGTAATTTCTAAACCTAATCACGTGATGTATCGCTAACTTAACTTATCAATCCATCCGCTTTGAGAAAAGCTTTCTTTTTCTTTTCTTTAATTATCTTTGAAAGCTTTTCTTCACAACTAAATATATCATCTAATCACTCTGGAACATTCCTTCATTATTGCATTACTGACTGATATATTTGTTGTTTGGATTGATCAAGGTATGATCTTGTTGTCTGTTTGTTTATGTTTAGTTTTGTTTATTTGTTTGATAGGAGATTCAATTATCTTTGAAAGCTTTTCTTCACAACTAAATATATCATCTAATCACTCCGGAACATTCCTTCATTATTGCATTACTGACTGATATATTTGTTGTTTGGATTGATCAAGGAATCTAAGATTCCTATACACAGAATTTACAATAAAACACTCCCACCATAGTGAATGCTCTAAGAAAGAATGGACCTATCTTGGCATTTACATACATTGTTTACCTCTTTAAAAGCACACAATATATGGGGCAGTAAAAAGACATCACTATTTGAAAGAGGCTGAAGGGCACATTCAAAAAAATGTTGTTAATATGAGGAATGAAGCCACTTCAGCATGTTGACACACAGTGGAAGTGTTTTATTCTCACATCATTGTAGAACAAAGATACCCATGCATCACTGCCCATTGGGGGTTTCAAGTCAGAGAATTTTTGTGAAAACTTTTTTTTTCTGCAAATATACGGTCAACAGCATTTGGGACACCTAAAAAGGTGTCCCCATTTTTCCAAATTTACGGTATATTTTGCAACATTGGACAACTTGTTGGACTGTAAAATACTGTAAATTTCTTGACTTGAAACCCCCTATTGTATCAGATTGAATACTGTCATCAGGAAGGTGTTTTATGATTTCTGGGATCATTTCATTTGGAAGTGATCTTATTCCTTTGGTAGCAGGAAGTCTTTTTTTGAACTTCTTTGGTTGATTTTGACTGGTTCTTGAGCTCTGTGATCTGATGGAATCATAAGAAATGTGTGGTTTGAATCCATCTCAAAGCTTGATTGTGAATTGGATGGAGATTTGGTTCAGATCACTTGCGAAGAAATCACATTTTACACAGCACAGAACTCGTGTTCTGTAAAAGTGTAGGAGTTGAAAGTTTATGGGTTTGTATCATGGGTTTGTGCAGTGATCTTAAGCCAGGGTTGAATAGTATTTTACCACTTTAAGCACTTCTTCACTTCAACACCAACATCATCACCATTTCTCATCCACATCCTCATCCTCAACAAAACTATTGACTATCCATCAAAACCATCGCATCCATGTTATCATCAACAAATGACAATCTAATCAACCTGAACACAATCATCAACCTCAATCCAATATCAAATCAAATCGAATTTCATCCTGAACTGTTAGTACACCTTCTTGATCACCCTCACCGTTTGATCAGAAAGAAAGAACTGACTTAAACTTTCATCAAATGGGTTCTAAACAGTCTCAATACTATCCTTCAACTTTTAAACTCATCATCATCATCGATCGAAAGACCATCAACTGATTTAAGTTTATCAAATCATTTCAGTTCATTGATCTTAGCAACACTACCACCTGCCTACTCAAGCACAAGTCAACACCAAATCACACCAGAACAACTCATCAGTTTCTTAGCGGATGACTTGTTTTCAAAATTCAATACTGAAACTCAACCTAGTAGAGTATCAGAATTGATTGCGGACTCGATTTGGGTGATTGAACAATCTATTGAAGCTAATCGATCTATAACTCAAGAGACCATCAAAAATGCTCAATCTCCTACTCCTACTGCAACAGAACGACTATCCATTCTTTCATCAGCTAGACAATCACTCATCGATCTTTCAAAACTGTTGATCTCTCCTAATTCAAATCCTCGAGGCATCTGTATCTTAGACATCAATCATTGTAAATTAAGTTGGGAATATGGTTTCTTATCTGAACTTGGAATCATTCCTTTTACGGCTGATCTTATTGGAAAACAAGCCACCAGACTTAACACAGGACTTCAGTTCAGTTCATTCATCTTATCATCCAAATTCAAATCTTCATCTTGTAACAAACACTCAATCGCGTCTTTTTCTTTTTGTGGTCATCATCCATTAGCTACAAACAACAAAGATTCAATTTATTACGAGAAGAATCAGAAGGATATTCACATCTAGCCACCGAATTACTCTCATCAATGGGTCCAGGAACGACAGCAGATCTAGTCCAATCAACCAGTCAAGGGGAGCCTACTTCGTATCCTAATCTGAGATCAATCCTGATTCCTGGTGAATCCGAAAAAATGTTAAGCGCAAGAATAGAGAAAGTGATCAATAATGTGAAGGCTTTGATTGGATTCTTTGACCTCGATCCAAATCGAACACTGGATATCATCTTGGATGTCTTTTGTTATAGCGTTACCACTCATCATAATTTCTTTTGTGGCTTGCTAAAGAAGACGCATTGGTTCAAAAAATCTAATCTGCCGACGACTACCGATGATCGTAATACAACACCGAGTGTAGGAAACGGCTTTCAAGGTGTCAAGGAATGTGAAAATACCAATTCTGGCTCAAAATTGATCTCCTCGTTACTTGGATTCAAATTTGTACATTATCAAAACCCCGATGAAACTGATTCAACACCTGAAGAGCTCTATCTGATGACTGCAATTTTGATTTGGCAAAAGATCATTTCTTTATCTGATATTCTTTCTCATCTAACACCTGATCCTGAAGGTATCAAGAAAATGGAATCAGATTGGAAAGATGAGGTTTATAATCAAGCTGCTGCTTCTGGACCTAAGAATGCACTTAGTATGGCAGGTGCATTAGACGGTTCATCTTCACTTGTACTTTCTTCAAATTCGAAACTTCCTCAAAACAAATCATCAACCGACACCTCGAAGCATAGAGAAGCTCTAAATCAAAAAACAGGACTCTTGAATGCTTTGTTGTCGATCGGAGCCCTTCAAGAATCTATCTTTTTACTCTCCTTACCTAATCATCAATTCTTAGCCTTTCGAAATCCATCCATCTCTGGATTGTTATTAAGATTAATCGATGTGGCTATCTCTCCTGCTTTCATCAATGCTGGACTATCACTCGCTGATCCAGAAATCAAGGAAAAACTTTCACGACCGAAGAGAAAATATGTTGGTGGAGCGTTACATCAATTAGTAGAAGCTGAAACACCTAAAGCTGTTCTATCATCCAAAGTCGGACCGAAACCTTCATCATTAATTCCAACTGTACCAGCTACTATTACTAAAACCGAATGGGTATTTTTCTGGGATCATTGGAAAGATAGAATTCCTGAAGCCAAGAATGGAGAAGAAGTGTTGGATTTGGTTTGGCCATTGATGAAATTCGTAGGACCATATGGGAATATGAATACATCAGTGTTTCATAAGATTTCAAAATTGACTGCTAAAGCTTTTGAAGGTGAAATTGAAAGTACTGATATTAGATGGCAACATATCTTACGATGGTATCTTTTACCTTCACTTTCGATGATGGAAGGATCTATTGCTGCTTCAAATTATGTTTGGGGTATACTTGAAAAATTTCCGTATGAAAGTCGATATATGATTTATGGAGAATGGAAAGAAAGAATTTATAATCGGATACCTGAATTAAAAGTTCAAAGAGTCAAAGCTGATAATGAAACCAAGCGAGTTTTAAAAACGATGACATCTGAAAATCTGAAAGAAAAATCAAGAGCTTTAGGAAAACTAGCATCATCGAATCCTTGTATTGTTTTTAATGCTGCTTTACATCAAGTTCAAACTTACGATAATTTGATTACTTGTGTCATTGAGACTTTACGGTATTTGAACATTTTCTCATTAGACGTTTTAACTTATTCGATTGTCGAATTTTTATCAAATCCAGATAAAGATAGATCTAAATCAGATGGATGTAATTTAGCATCTTGGTTACAAAACTTGGCTAAATTCGTTGGAAATGTATTCAAAAGGAATTTAATTTTAGATCCGACTATCATTTTACAATATTTATCTAATCAACTTTCAAAAGGAAATTCAAAAGATTTAATAATTTTAAGAGAAATGATTAGTAAGATGGCAGGAATTGATGTGCTAGTTGATCTTTCTAATTCACAAGTGATTGGTTTAAGTGGTTCGATGACTCTTAGATCTGAAGCTATTTCGCCTACTACTCTTACTGTAAAGAAAACTTCAATGTTTAATAAAAGTTCGAATCGGTTGATGAAGGCTTTGAAACAGTCGGGTTTATTGGTGCCTATTTTAGTTTTGGTTGCCTTACAACGTCAAAATGCGGTTCTATTGGCTGATGAAGATGCTCATTTGAAGTACCTTGGTGTCTTGGCTGATAATGTCAGTCGTTTCCTCTTTTCTCTCATCGCGCTTTCTTCCTTTTACTGATAATTAACCTTGACTGTTTTCATAGTGTCAGCAAGTTTTATTTCAATACTTGGAATTCTTACAGTCTCAACTTGATTTAGATCAATATTCGAAAATCTTACCATCAATTTCGGAAATGTGGGGAAAATTCAATTTGGAACCATCAATTGTGTTTCATACATGGAGACCAATCTTAGCTAATCAAGTTAGACCGATGGTTAAAATTGGAAATGATGGTGAGGTTATCATGGTTAAGAGTGATGTTGATGTAGTGATGGAGAATGCAGGAGAGATCGAGAATGGTGCGAATGGGATTGGTGAACAGGTTAGTTATTTCCTGATTTTTTACTTCTTAGTAATTCGTGCTCATCGTTTTGTTCCTGTGATTTACTGTAGGCGCAATATCCTAGTAGTCTTGATCCGGTTGTTGCGGTGGCTGAAAATATGTTATCAGAACAAACTAGGAAACTAGTCGGGTAAGCTCTTAAACGATAAGATATTGAAATGTAGCTGATAATCTCTTTCTTACTTACTATAACAGGTCACATTTCTTTGTCACTTTTTGGCAATTGGAACTTTATGATATCAGAATGCCAGATGAAAGATATTTAGCAGAAACGACTAGATTGAATAATCTTTTAACTGAATTAGATCGAGAATATGCTAATCCGAATCCATTAACATTCAATAAGGATTTAAATAGGGCAACAAGAGCTAAGATTTTAGAGATTCGTTCGACACTGACTAAAGAGATGAAAGTTCATATTAAACATTACGAATTAACTAGAGCTAGATTGGTGGCTGAGAAATCTTTTTGGTTTTCACGTGAGTCATTCAGTCGATCTAAACCTTTTGATCATTTAGTGGGTTATCCTTGTCTATTAGCTTTACTGATATATTTTATATACGTCTCTTTGAACAGAAATCTCGGGTAGATCACCATTACGAGCTCAATTACTTGAACACATCATTCAACATTGTTTAAACCCAAGATCAAAACTATCACCAGTAGATGCAGCCTATACAGCTCAATTTGTGAAAACCATTCATAGTTTGGGTACTTCATCATTTATGACATTAAAATTATTTGATCGAATCTTTTCACCGGATGTAGGACCTACCATCTTTGTTTGTTCGGAAACAGAAGCAAGTAATTATGGAAAGTTTTTAAGAGATTTATTAGGTTTAATTAAAACTTGGTTTGATGATGAAAAGATCTTTAAAAAAACTGGTTTAGGTAAAGATAAAAAAGGTAATTATTTACCTGGTTTACGTATGAAATTAAAAGGTGGGAATGGGGATGAAACTCCTGTTAATGGAAATGGAAATGGGACAAATGGGAATGGAAATGGAAATGGAAATGGGAATGGGAATGGGAATAATGGGGCGATTCCTGAGAGTGATATGTTATCTCATGATAATTTACAAAAGGTTTTCAAAAAGTGGACGGGTGTGATGTCCAGTGTCAGTCAACCAAAACAGCATTATCTGATTGATTACGAAAAATACTGATATCTTGTTTGGAATTGTTTCTTTTGCTGGCTGGGGTCTATCTTTTCTAGGTTTGTAAGGATGCGATTCAATGTGGTGAATATATGCATATTAGGAATAGTATTGCCGTTTTGAAAGAATTGGATGGATTAGTACCTTTGTTTGAAGATCAAGCTGTTCTTTTGGAAGGAGCAGTGACAGGACTATTGAAGAATGAAAAAAGAGAAGATGTTAAGGTTTTGGTCTATGGGTTCGTAGTCTTCCTCTATGTCTTTTACTCTCTTAAGTCATGCGGAATTGAATATAGCCTTTAACATGATTCTATTTTTTTTTGCAGATATCAATCAATGTTGAAACGAGCTGCAAAATTTGTGATTAAAAATAAAACTCCAGCTTCTAGTTCGGCTTCATCAAGTCTAGCTACAAGAAAACTGGACAATAAAGATAAAGCTCCTCCAGCTCCCTCAACTACAACCGGTCTACCAACAGTAGTGGCCCCACCTCCTGTTCAGTCAACAACATCGACTGCTACGGTCTCAAATGATCAGCCCCCACCGGCACCTAACGTGCTATCGACAAAAATAAATGGAAACGGGATCGTCACTCAGCCCGACTTGCGACCACCTCAATCATCTACTTCCTCCCGACCAGCCGGTTTACCTGAAAGACCTACATCTCGTCTTGCCCCACCACCTCCTTCATCCGCAGCGAGCGTTGGGCGTCACGAAGCTGATAGGAAGTTAGCTGCTCAAGGACCACCTCGTCCACCTGCACCTAATCTCGCCCCACCTGCACCACGACATCCTACGAACGTCGAGCTTGAAAAGAATGGGAGATCTGGAACAGATTTAACGAACGCCAAGGCTATAGCACCTCCTTCAAGACCTTCAGCCGAAGCTAGTGAAAGAGAAGCATTGGCTCGAGCTGCTGTTCAACGATCTCGCAAGTTTGCCACTAATTCGAATGGTGCTCTCTCTCAAAACCCGAATAGCGTTATCCCAAATCCTAACACGAGTAGCCTTCCGGGTTCTAATTCACCCGGAACAGGGGTAGTGTCTTCATCACCTCGACTCAAAGAAACTTGGCCACCAGCTGATGATCCTCGTAGTACTCAACATCGTCATATGATGGCTTCTTCTGGGGTTCGATCGAATTTGAGTAGTCCTAGTATGATGAATGGAAAAGTTTTAGACAGTGGCCCAGGAGGAGCTCGTTATGTACCATCTGGACCGAAATCATTAACATCAAGAACGATGAGTGGCAAAACAGAAGAAATGAGACCACCTTCAGCACCTAAAGCAGAACAAACTCAAAGGTTTCAACCTCATTCTTCACCCGTGACCTCATTGGTTAATTCAAGTCCAAGACATTTGAGAGATCAAAGTAATGTCAAACGTGGAGGAACAGATGATCATCGGATTAGAGAAAGATCGATTACTGAAGGAGCAACAGAATATACAAGAAGAGAACCAAGAGAAGAACATCATCGGAGGACTAGAGGAGAGGAATCTAGTGGAAGTCGAACTAGACAAGGTAGTGTTGAATCCATTAGATCAGGTAGAGATCGAGAGAAGAGAAGTAATGGGAATAGTAGTGGTGAGAAGAGGAAGAGGTCTAGATCTCCTTTGCCTGGAACGTCCACTCCAACGATTGATTTAACTCGAGGTCATCATCGTGATCATCGTGAGAGGGATCGTGATCGTGATAGGGACCGTGATAGAGATCGAAGTGATAGAGGGGAGCGAAGTACCAGGGAACGAGACCCGGACAGAGAACGGGATCGAGATCGAGAACGGGATCGAGGAGAACGGGGAGAACGGGATCGGGATCGAAAGGATCGAGAGACACGACATACTACGAAGGAAAAGGAGAAAGATGGTGGAGAGACGCGTGAAAAGGATCGAGGTGTGAGTGGTAGTGGTGAACGAAGATCACATAGAAGAGATAAAGAAAAGGAAAAATTAGAAGAAGAAGTTGGTAGTACCAAAAGACGAAAAGTTGCAGAAACAGGAGGGAATGGAACGACAGGAACCACAGATATGATGAACATTCCATCTGGACCAAGAGCATTACAAAACCAAATTCATCATTCACAACATCAACACCAACATCAACATCCACATCAACATCAAAGATTATCTAATAATGGAAACACAAGAATGGGAGTCAACAATGGATCCATACCGATGAATCGAACAGAACATTCACAAGAAATGATTGTTATGGATAAAGGAGGAAATATGATTACAGAACCAAAGAAGAATATCAGTATTAGAGGCATGGCAGCTAATGCATTACAGAAAGCAAATGAAGATAATGCAAGAAAAGATCATCGAAAAGATTCTGCTACTTCGCTTCCTTCATCAGCTGTAATGATGGAAGGCGGGGCAACATTATTAGCTAGAATGACAGATGAAAGTAAAAATGGAGAGGTGAGTGATTAATCTCGATTTTAGATTCTTACGGTTTCTTGTTTTTTATCATTGAGATCTTTATTAATATCTTTGGCATTGGTATGGTGTTTGTTTTCTTTTTTAGGATAGCTCTAATGGAAAACGTAAAGGAGGAACAACAACTACAACAACAGAAGATCAAGAGAATGGAAGAAGACGAAAAGGATCTGGAGTGGTTGTAGAAAAAAGAAGAGATAGAAGTCGAGAGAAAGGTGAAAGAGAAAGAGGCGAAAGAGGTGATAAAGAAAGGGATAGAGGTGATAGAGGTGATAGAGATAGAAGTGATAGAGATAGAAGTGATCGAGGTGATAAAGATAGGGATAGGGATAGGGATAGAAGTAAGAAAAGTAGTAGACATTGAAAAAGTCATGGGGTTTTTCTCAGATTTTCTTTTTTTTCATTCTTTTCTCTTGTGTTATATTCGATTGGAAGAAATAAACAGAAAGTTGGAATGAGATTGAGTTTCTTTTTTTTGAAAATAAACAGTTTGGTTTTTGTGAAAGTAGTTATGGTTGATAGTTTGAAAGAAATTGAAAATGAAATGAAATTTGTTTAGGTTTAAAAGGAAAGATTTCATTTAAAAGGTTGTACATATATATACCTTTTTTGTTTCATGGTAGCAAGTTGATGAACAATCTCTTTTGTGACACATAATCGAAATAAGTGTTCCCCTTGAGAACACATCTCTTATTATATATCACGAAATCGGAGAATTTCTTTAACGCTGTTTGGTCTGGTGTTACAAAGAAATTAATCAAAATATTGTAATATTTTGGGACCTTCGACAACTTTAACTGAAAGAAAGAGTTCCTATGACCCAAAAGAAGCTTTAACTCATTACTTACAACTAATTCTTACTGTTTTTAGAATACCTCTGCTTGGGTGATGCATGTTTTGAACGCTTTTGTCTTTGCAGTCATGAACTTGTTGGAAAACCAAGATCGGACGGAGAGCGCTTTTTTCCTTGAAACCAAATAATCTCAATGTTTGTTGTAATCTCTTGGGAGAATTGAATATGGTATAACATTTAAGATTGTTCAAGTACCAAACACAGTATAATCTTTGGTCTGTGACAAATCTGAAGTCTTATACTTACTCCCTTGAATGGACATCGAGAAGCAAACGAAAGGAAGGTTGATGTGTTGATGATCCTATAAGCTGCTGCAAAAGTCATCATTTAGGGTTTTCCGCTTGATTGAATGCTTCACATGAAATCAACAATCATGTTGTGGTACTATCAATACTAGGGGAACAGAGCCACTCGTACCAATACCAAATAGAATCGTGATATAAATGCAGTGCAATAGAGTGTGATGAAGTCCGGATAGATTGGGAGTCCGACATCAAGGTTCGAACTCCGAGACCTAAGTTGTTACTACATATACGTAAGAAGGTGGTGTACTTTCGGCCCGCTTCGGCGGTGCCATACGTTAAAATTGGAACGATACAGAGAAGATTAGCATGGCCCCTGCACAAGGATGACACATGTAGTCAGAATGGATTCACCTACGGGTGAAGATTTTTTTTTCTTTTGTGCCATCCAAAGAGAAGTTCGAAATACAACTTATAACTTATTTGGATGGTGAATTGTATGAAAATAAAAAAATCTATTATGGGACTTCTTTATTACAATTTATCTACCATCCCGATAAAGGAAAATATGATACTGATCTGAGAGGACCCCGGTATGCTCCTATGAAGGGTACAGATCTAGAATTGTGACTTTTGAGCTCGCGCGGAGATACAACATATGGGATTAAACAGTGATCTCTTGGATTTTACCGGTTTCTGCCTGAATTTCAGAGTTGCTAAGTCCAATACAGCTGATTAAAAAGACTAAACCTGTCTTAAAGCTATGGGTAAAGCCAGGGACAAGTTTCCGAGCGAGCTCAAAAGTCACATTTTTGGATCTGTACCCCTGATAAGAGCATACCGGGGTCCTGATCTGAGTCATGAGTCAGTAAAGAGTGAATTACCTAAACAAGTGTTTTTGTTTGTCCTTAACCTTGGTTTGAGTGTCATGAGAAAACCCAAGCTATCTCCTATTCTTCAGTATTTGTGATGATTCACCAATATATGTATTAAAAAACACTTTGGCAAAGCTATCAAAATCAAAACTTAATTCATATTTCATAGTATTACTTTTGCTAAAAAGCATGGCCCGATTGAGAAAAAATAAAACAGAAGTAGACCCAGAATTTCGCCGCAGTCGTCACAACGCAGCAGAGAGAAAAATTTTGGGGGTGCTGTGGGCTGTGGTGCAAGGTCCCTTCCATTCCATCCGTTTTATTCCCCTGCTGCCACCAAAAAAAAATTCATACTCTCCAAATCCCCATCAGTCACTTTGTTTTTGTCATTACACTCAACTACGGCCCTTGCTGCTTCTCGCACCTTGGAAACGTGTCTATTCATGGCGGACAATGGATTTCCAATCTCTGTAAGAAAAAAGTTACACTTTATCACTACAATTCCTCCCATTTCTCTCTTCAGAGCATTTCATTCGACTTACTGATAATCCCAAATATCTTCTCTGGGTATCCTTCTCCAATACCCACCACCATAGTGTCCCGAGTTGAACACTCAAGTTTGGATTCAAGGTGTCAAAGTTTGATGTATGGAGATCACAAGTTTTATTCACTAGGTCAAATCCGGTCAAACGGATCATACGTTGTGTTAAAGTTTTTACACTGTTCCTCCGATGTTGATAACGAGCGTTTGTTAACAAATGAAATTAAGGAATGATAAAGCTTTTATGGAGCTAACTACTGTGCTAATCTGAGAAAAAGGGCAGGTTGAATGAGATGTATCTTACATATCAGATATTCAAAATGTGCGTCAGCTTTCAAGGTGATTGAGATCATCAATATCATTGATTAGTTATGAACAATATCAAAACCAGCCAATTCCCGATTGATTCTCCTATGACTCATGAGAAAATCCTATGATCGCGAGTTGAGAACGATCTCAACTCTCTTATGAGGACGATAAAACGTAGATCAATGGGTTTGAAGTCATCCAAACCCACAGAAATTGTCTATGATGCTCTTATGAACGAGATCGAGCTTGTGTCATCCAAACCCATTCAATTTGTCTATGGTCCTATGAACAAGATGAAAAACGATCTCAGATTTCTTGAAGACATTCAAAATCCAAAGATTGACTGGTTTTGCTCGATCAAAACCAATCGACCTTCCTGTGTGTCTATGGAAGAGATTGGGAACAAATATCTCAGCTCCTGATGTAATCTAGAGACTGTTTTTTTAACAAGATCAAAGCCGATTGATTTGCTCGTGATCTTATGAAAACAATTGAAACGATCTCAATTTTCACATCAATCTTATCTAGAATCCCTTGATTCTAATTCCTATACAATGACAATTTTCTCTAAGTACAATTCATCTATTATAGACAATCTAGCTCGTTAATTCAGCTGTAAGGGCTTATGAGCTACCTTCCGGATCCGTTCAACTGGATTTGAATTTTGACCTAGACAATGAAATGTGTGATCTCCGGACATCAAACTTCAATGCATACTTCAAATTCGATAGGGTTCAGCTCGGGACGGTTTGGTGGTAGGTATTGGAGAAGGATACCTAGAGATGATATTAGGGATTATCAGTAAGTTGAATGAAATGCACTGGAGAGAGGAATGGGTCAAATTGAAGCAATCAAGTTTATCTTTTTGCTTACAGAGATCAGCAATCATTTTCCCACAATGGATGAGGCGTTGGTTGAGTTTAGTGAGCAAAACAAAGTCATCGACAGGGATTTGAAGAATACGAAAAATTATTGGTGGCAGTGGGGTAATTAAAAGGAAGAAACGGATGAGAGCTCAAGTGCACCCTAAAACTTTTTTCTCTCTGCTGCGTTGTGACTGCTGCGGTGAAATTTGTTTTTATTTTTTCTCAATCGGGCCAAGCTTTTTAGCAAAAGTAATATAATCTTTTCATGTTTCAAAAGAAAAAACTCCCGGAAGATATTTCGAAAATCACAAATGGTATAACAAATCAAATAACTGAAATGAACAATGTTTTGAAAAATAAATGAAACAACATGAAATAAAACAAACGCAAACGAAGCGAGAAAAAAAACGAGTTTGTAAAATCATCAATCATTCAAATTGTTGTGTTTATGAAATCTTGATCAACTGTAATGATGTTCATGTAAAAGAAGAAAGAGAACAGAGGAGGATAAGGAAAAAAAGGTGCGGGAAAAAAAACAAAAGTAAAGAGAAATAAAATCGATTGGAGTGTTTGAATCTTCGTGTATGTATAGGTATGAGTGTTTGAGAAAAAAAAGAAATCAAGATGATGACATAGAAATGTTAGCTATAAACAAAAGAAATTGTTGTAATCATCAACTTGTATAGATAAAAAAGATGCTTATGAGAACCAAAAGAGAATGCAAAAGAAAGATGACCAGGTTTCGAATGACTGGTTTGATTAGAATACATATGAACACAAGCCTAGCATTGATAAGACTTTTGACTTTCGTTTCTTGAAGAATCAGATTAGGTCCGAAGAAGTAAGCAGAGTAGTAAGTTGATCGATAGTTGAAGTCCGTTCAGAGTTAATCAAATCAGCATAACTCATAAAATTCAATCGATTCGAGCTCGATCCATGATGATCATGAAGGATAGATGAAGTTTGACGCGGTTGGATTAAAGTCGAATGAGAGTCTGATTTTGGTTCAAAGTTTAAGCTAGATAAAGGTATGATAGATGGAGAAGAACTTGAACTTTCAGGTGACCCATTGGATTCGTTTAAGTTAGTCGTAAAACTAATCGAAGAAATCGAATCTGATAATTGATGATGATGATGATTATGGAAATTCAAAGGAGAAGGTGGATCATCCAAAACCGAACTGATCGGTGAGATTTGTTGATCTAAACCTGGTCGTTTTCGAATCAATGGTGGAGTAGAAGGGATTGATGAATCTAAAATGATGTCTTCTGGATGAGTCGTACTCGTAAGAATCTCAACGGCTTCATCTAGGACTGATGGGATGGCTAATTGAGTAGCTTCGTGTGCTGTGAGATTAGGTTCTAAGAGTTCTACATCTCTTTCAAAGATTGATGAAGTAGATGTAGACCTTTTTTACGCAATTCAAATCAGATGATTAGTAAATCGAATTCTGGGGAGTTTTGTTCATAAATCATTCTTCATACTCACATTCCTTCAATGATATCATCTCTTGGAGTTGGACTAGGTGGACCTGAACCCAATAAAAGTAAAGTATGAGTAGGAGATTGAATTAAGTTAGATTTGTTGGATTGAAATGGTGAATTGGGTAAATGTTTAGGAGTCAGTTGAGTTTGATTTGATGGAAATATAAAAGGTTGAGTTTGAGATGGTGGAGTGATTGGACTTGATGATGGTTCGATCTGTTCTGTTGTTGAGAATGAAGTGTTAATTTGAAGTGAACCTGTTTTGGTATTCATCGTTCTTGTTGTTGTTGTTGTTGTTGTTGTTGTTGTTGTTCTTGCTGATGGGAAATTAGAAATTGGAAATTCAAAAAATTGCAGTCTTAAGGCTTAAGTCTTAAGTACTTATGTATTAAACCCTTTCAGTCTTTAGTTTTGGACTTGTTTGCTCCAAACAGAATGTCTGACTTTAATCAACAATCGGCTTCATCTTCGGATTTATCAAACAAACTTGACAATGATCCCACTATTAGCACTCATTCCGAATCCTCTCATCATCGGAACCTCTTTGTGTAAATATTCATCCGATTTTACTTTCATTTCGGGATCGTAATCTCACTGATTTAAATGTTCTATGATTCTATTTTTAATCCCATTCCTTCTTGCTAGATATGGAACATTAATTAATAAATCTATCTTAGAACGCGTTCTTGGCAGAAAATCAAGTGACTTGAAATTCGAAAATGGTTTGATATCAGTTTGAGTTCATTTCTTAAACCCATCAAAAAAAACATTGTAGAATTGATTGAAGTCGATCATTTTATCCGAACAGGATCACATTCGACTTCAACTACGTCATGCTGAGTACCCTGCTCTCGTGCCGAGTCATGTGGCCCAAAATGTTTTTCAACCTCAATTATCAGCTGAAGAAAGTCAAGTGAATGGTTTATTAATCATGGGTTTGACATTGAATGATTTTTCCAAATTGGATGAATTTGAAGGTGATGTAAGTAATCTTTCAAAGAATCCAATCACTTGATATCCAATTGATCCTTTCTTTTATATGATCCCAGGAATATATTTCAAACCCAATTTCTGTCAAAATCACTTCATCGTCTCATCAGATTCATGCAAAAGTTTATCTTTATTCTGAAAAGTTTTATTCTAATCTTTTACCTAAAGTTTGGTCATATGATCATTTCTTGAAATACCATTTTCAAAATTGGATAAATGATCCTAATCAATTTCTTGAAGTGGATCATCTAACTGAAGCTCAAACTGAAACTTGATCATTGAGATTCCATTCATTTGTTGTAAACCAGCTTAGATTATATGATTTTTTTGTATTCAGATTGAAAATTTAAAGGAGATTCTAGAAGAATCAGTGTTTGATTATTGCCAAGATGAGGAATAGATGGCATATTTCCTTCTAAGTCAAAAACACAGATATCAAACCTTTCAAGAAGGCCCAACTTGGAATCCTGAGTTGGCTTTAGGTAGACAAAATTTGATTGCATCCAGAAAAATGTGACATGTTGCCCCTTCCCATCCCATGGATTTTTTTCTGCAGGCTCAAACCAATCTTCCATTTCAACGCTGTCAAACTCTCTTGCTCAGGTTGACAACTGCAGCTAGATGAGGCAAGACAGTGAAGAATGGGGACACAAACTGAGCAGGGAACCACTTTGAGCCTTATGATTCTTTACATTTATAGTTTCTCAAGTTGTCCTGAGGAGACATGCAGTGAGGAAAACCTTTCAATATTTTTTACAATACAAATGATCAAACAACATATGCAGTGTCATTGTACATAGAGTCTTTTCTTCAGTCTACAGGTCATTGGGTTCAGATTTTTAAATGAACAGACAACCCTTCAAAGAAGACTGATTTGGATGTGGTGTGATTCCCTTTATAGGAATGTTGTATTCCAGTTCACTCATGTCACATTGGTTAGGGCTTTCTTACACTTATTGTATTGTACTATCCCTCACTTTTTTTGGGTTCCTTCCAATGTCCATATCAATGAAAAGATTAACACATTGTGAATACAGTCTGCCCGCTCCGAGAGCAGGAAAAACTCTGCAGCGGGGCACAAGCAATTCTCAATATTGTGAGTTTTACCACTTTATAAAGCTGAGATGATTGGCTGAGTGCCCAGGAGAGACACTCTGATGATAATCTATAACACATTTTTAACTACATACATATAGATATGATCCAGAAGACTGCTTGACTCCAAGGATTCTCAGTGGGTGAAGTTCCTCAATCTTAAGTAAAATGGTTTCAATTTTCGAATGAAGATAGATACATAATTTGATCTTTTTCTAATTTTTATTGGTTAGCTTGCAAATATTTTAATTCCTGTACCAAGGTTTCAATCTCTGCATTGATCTCGGCTTCAAGACCATCTGAACAGCCTACATGATGTTTTCCATGGACTATGTTAATCATAGAAAGTACGTAATGTGATTCTGTTGGTTTGAAATGAAATCGTGCAAGGTGATTCATTTGTTTGCGATCTTGTGGGAACCGTATGTTATATGCATTTGTAAATCGACCTGTCATCTGAATTACAAGCTCGTTTGAATTTTCACTCTCAACCACCTTGCCTAAAGATTGGTTTCCAAAGAAAGGTCAGCCTTTTGGAGTAGATTTTCTTTTAAAAGATTTTGATGCGGAATGAAGTCTTTCATCTGATATGATGACACACCGTTCAAGAGGACTTTAGTCCATTGGTCTAATCCTTTTTGGAAATGAGCAAGAGCATCTGTGATTTTCATCAATCCAACCAACGTTTTTCGAATCCAAAGAATCAAGACCAAAATGAATTGTATGATTAATCACCACTTCACAAGTCAATCAACATTACCAGCTCACTTACCTTCATTGAACAAACCACCGCTGACATGTTGGCGCTCAGGAAAATATGTGATCACATTCACAACGCCTTTGAACTTTGTATCTTTTCGTCTGGCTAATGCCTGATATTGTTGCATGATTCCATCCATCACAACTTTTGGATCGGGTATGCCTAAAAACAATATCTTGATGAGACTACACAACCACGGATATTTTCATGCCTCAAGCTGTATTGTAACTCACGTGGATCTTCATCAAGATTGTGAGCAAAGAGGTTGCCCTTCATGAACATGGCAAGTGATGGTGTTACCCACAGAGTAAAGACACATGATATAAGGGCAATAATTTTTTTAGACTTGAGAGGATACATGATGGGAACAAGATGAAGTAGAGTATTTTTTGACCTGAGAAGATATGTGAAGGAACTGACCAAAGAATAGGTAAGAGAGCCGCATAATTTATAGACAAACAAAGTACTAGATAAGGCAATCCCTGGTGCAAATTCACTTGAAGATTCTATAGAAACGCCTGCCAGTGAAACTCGTGTTCTAGCTGATAAATATAAATGATCATACATGATTGAAGACGAGTTCACTTATGATGTAAAGTTTTCTATTATCAAATCAACTGAATATGATTCCTTGTTGGAAAGAAGACTCAATACCCTTCTGACTATCTATAGAAAATCATTCACTGCAGGTTGCCTCATCTTTCAATGTCGCGCTCTTGGCCGGTGTGATAAAACACCTGATCAAGATCTTGTGATAAGTAAAGTCTCAATTAAAATACCTCTTATGTAAGATCTCACTGCAAATCAACAAGAAAGAAACTGGTGTAAAATTTATATGACATGACCTTCCCCGCCGGATTGCGCCGATGACCCCTATTTATAAAAACAATGCCGGCTGCGAATGTTTTGATCCTCCACGCCGCATTCTGGACCGGTCTGACAAAACACCTGGTAACCTGGCGAAGAGTAAAGGCTCAGTTAAAAGTTCTTTAATCAAAGGTCTCACTGCCAATAAACAAGAAACACTGTAGTAGAATACAAACTACGTGTTATATGTCATGATTTTCCCTTCCGGAATTACACCGACAATGAACCATTACTATAATTGTTTTTTTGGCTTTGAGGACATAGGTTTCAATGCTGCGATCCTGACTGGGCTGATAAAACATCCAATAAAGGCTCATGTAAAAAATAAAGCCTTGATCAAAATGTTTCTTTTTAAATTATTCACTTCAAATGAAGAAGAAACAGTAAGGTACGACATCAACCACACGTTATATCATACATGTCATGATTTTCCCCACCAAATTGCATTGGTGACCCCTACTTATAAAAACAATGCAGGCTGTGAGTGTTTTGATGCTTGAATGATGCATTTTTGACCAGTTTGAGAAAACACCTGGTAAATATTCGTGATAAGTAAAAGCTCAGTCAAAATGCTTCTGTTTAAATATCTACTGCAAACAAACAACAAACAGTGGGGTATGTTCAACTATGTGTTCATATGAGATGATTTTCCTCGTCGGATCACACCGGCAACCACTACAATTTTCTTTGACTTTGAAATATATTCACATTTCAATGCCAATAAAGGATTGATCAAAATGTGTATTTTCAAATCTTTCAATTCAAAGAAGCATTTTATCTTATACTGTCAAAGGCTTTCTCTCACAGATTTACTTACTTTTTTGGTTCTGGTTTTGGCAATGAAAAAGAAAAGTATGTTCAGATGACCATCCAGAACTAAATACCAATCAATCAATCAAAAAACCCATACCATTTTCTATCCTTGACATACCTATCTTCTTCCACTTCATATCCCCCTACCTCATACCTCATACCTCAGTCTCAACCAAACCAAACCCAAACCCTTTCTTAATCAAACATAATAAATATGTAATGCTGGATAGGTGATCAAAGCCTAGTTTGACAATATGAAAGACTCGATATAGTGGTAGCCAATACCAATGCAAAAAAATACTTTTTCAGACCAATCTGATTCAAAGAGTTTTGAAAAAATCAAAAGAAAGTTATTTACTTGACCACAAAAGTATATGAACATCCAAAAATAAAAAAAATTATCAACAAACTAATTATCAAAAAATAACCCATTTTTTATCTCTCTTTTTCTGTTCACAAATAATCTGTCTGTCTTAAACTAAATAAATCATATACCTCAAAGTACCTACCAACTTGTTTCTTAAAAATCCAATCCATCATTCACACACACACATGTCACACACACAAAAACAAAAACCACACCCATAAGAGCCCATAAAAAGGAAAGACGCTACAAATAAAATGAATTGAAATGAATTATTTTCTTAAAAAAAAACCCCACACCACCCTCTAAAAAAAATCCAACTTCTACTAAAACTTCAAACACCCTTTAAATTTTTTCATTTCTTTCTCAAAAACTTTTTTTTGCATCAGTTTCTTTCAACTTTTTTTCTTTGATGGTTGATTTTTTTCTTATATAACGTAAGTATATATTTTAAACCTCTTCTTGATCAAACTTTAATCATTAGAAAAATAAGAAACTTGAAAAAAAACAAAAGAAAAGAAAATCCAAGTAACCAATATCAATATCAAAAACTCCAAACCCTTTCTTCTTCTTTAGTTCCATCACATCAACCTATCTACACCTCTTCCTTCACTTCTCTTTTCCAAACCTAATAACCTCAAACCTCAACCCACTGTAAACCTCCATTCTCCAGTGTTCATCCAACCACTTACCCATTCAAACAAAAAAAAGAAAGAAAAGAAAAAAAGGAATGATTTATGTTGAAGATAAAAGAAAACCTTGGCAAAAAGAAAGAAACATTTTTTTTCATGGATTGATGGATCGAGTGATCGAGTGATTCAAAAGTTTAATCCAAATTATTTTTACTCATGATGAGCCATGGAACTTGAACTAGAAGAAGTATTCGGACGATGAGGATGATGATCTAATCTATAATCTTGAAAAACATTCGAACCAGTAACATTAGGAGCAATACTCCCATTCAAACTTCCCACCAGTCCCGTACTCGTACTAGCACCAGCAGTAGTAGTAGCAACAGTGTGATTTCCATTACTTCCCATCCCACCCCAATTTCCAAACGTTCCAGGTCCGTTTGGATGGTTTGAAGATGGATGATGAGTTAATGGATGATTACTGGTTTTCCTTTTGATCGAACTTTGTCCGTAATGTGATTCAGCATGTCGGGATAAGATTTCAATCACCGGTCCTAATAATCTTGTGAACGCCTTTTCCCCTAAGGCTGCTACTCTTAATCTACCTCCAATGGCTGTCACGGTTGCTGCTCTAGGTGCCGAGTTCAATAATGCGAGCTCTATTTGATGGTAACAAAAAATATCAGATAATGATCTCATTAACCTTCGAAAAGGAAGAAGAAGAAAACGTACCACCAAAATGATCTCCTTTTCCTAATGAACCGACAACTTCTGATTCATCACCTTCTCTCTTTTTAGTCACTTCAACTCGACCCGATTCAATAATATAAAACTCTCTACCAATCTCTCCTTCCTTAACGACTTCGACTCCTTCATTAATCGTTCTTTCTTCCAAAGAATCCGCAATCTTCGATCGCTCACCTGCAGTAAGTGAAGCAAGGATCGGAACTGTCGAAAGGAAAGATTCATACATCTTTCGTTTTCGCGAAGTGTGTTCCATCAAGATCGATCTAAATGTGACTCGATCGAGAGCCCAAAGGGTGGCAGATTGAGAAGTAGCCACCACCGTAGCTGCTCGAGGTGCGTTATACATCAAGGCCAATTCACCAAACGATCCACCAGGTCCATAGGAATGAACCTTTTTAGCAGGTGCTTGATGAGTGACGGTGGTCCCACCCACAGGAGTTTGACCACGTTGAGCGATGGGGTCTTGTTGAGATTGTTGATCGACTGGCAATGACAAAGTTCCAGTAGCCCCATTGGCGATCGGTGGAACATAGGTATAGGTAGCCGGACCTCTGACATAAACATCAAAGGTACCTTCTTCGACTACATAAAAGAAATCACCCACTCCACCTTGTACAATCACTTCTGTACCTAAACTGACTTTCAATTCTGACATCGCATTCAACACATCATTGTATTGTTCTTCATCCAGATTTCTGAATAATAAGTTTTCTTTGATCGAGGATTCGATTCTTGATCGTTGTTCGGTAGTCTTTGGAATGACTACCTTTGGTAAAGAAGGTCCTGAGGCAAGGTTCGAGGGTGATAAAGATTCAGCAGAGACAGATGTACGTCTTCCAAAGTTGTAACCGGATGGCACCATGGGTGGTTCAGCTGAGTCTGATTCGTCTGAAGCTTCTTCTGACGAGGATGATGATGGTGGCTTGAGTCTTTGATCGGTACCACGTTGATGAGGCATTGTAGCAGAGGCTTCTCTTGGTGAGAATTCTGAATGAGGAGCCATTCCGTAGACAGGCTGAGATGTTAAACGGTCGTGGTTAGGGGTTCCACCGGTGACCCTAGATGAAGGTCGGGATTGATGGTGTGAGGGGGAATGGTGGTGATGATGATGTGATGCGGGAGGTGGAGGAGGTGGATGATGATGGTGATGATGGTGTGGTTGAGGAGGTGAATGAGGATGATGATCGGTAGGACTGATACGCTGATGAGTTGGAGTAGAACTAGGACGACCGAACGAATAAGCGCGTTGTTCACCAGAAGCTATAGCTGGTGAATGGTGTTGATGAGCATGAGAATTTGAATCATGATGATGGTGATGATGGTGAGGTGGTGGTGGTGGTGCAACATGGTTTGAATCGATATGAGTAGGATGAGTTTGATAGATTGGTTGAGAAGTGAGATATTGAGTAGGTTGAACTTGAGCTTGAAACGGATTAATATAAGCTTGAGGAGCGATATGATGAGTAGGAAGAGGAATAGGAGAATAAGAAGGATTCAGAACAGGAGAATAAGCTAATTGGATTGGAATCGGATTATAATGATGGTTATAAGGCAGAGTAGTAGTAGTAGTAGTAGTCACTGGATGAGAATAAATGTCTTGATGAGTGGATGGTAAATAACTCAAAGTAGTAGCAGTAGGAGTAGTAGTAGTATTGGTAGTATTAGTACCCAAATTTCTAATTCGATCTTGTTCCAACTTTTGAAAGAACCAATTAGCACAATATTGAAGTGGATCAGAAGGAGAAGCACGTAAGATATCACGATTTAGTTCGTTTAAAAGACTAGTATATGCTGATGGTAATGACATGATCACTCTTCAGTCAGTCTTCAATCTGAAACTCGATTAATCTAACTTTCACTTTGGATTGGTGAATGATTCGATTCGATTCGATTTGATTTGTTTCGCTTTGATTTGTCGATTTGTCGATTTAGATAGGCTGGATTTGATTGGTTGATTGATGGTCAAATGGTTTGTTGATGATAATGATTTGGATGCTTGTTGATGATGATGACGTGTGATTGATTTTATTTTAATTTTTATTTTAATTTTTAATTTCTGACTTTAACCTAGCGAAATCCAAGTGACCCTCGCTGGAAGTTCCTTTTCAGGTAATCCTATCTTCACATCACTTTACTATCTATCTCTTCTTTCGGTAACACATATCACAATCAACAAAAGATTCTTCAATCCTCAAAGTGATATAACTCATACTTCATTCAAAACAAAGAATTCATGAATTCCCTTTAATTACTTCATTCAGCTTACACTTGTGTGTACCTATTCAAACCACTTTGCTTTCTATGCCAGAATACCCCCCATCGGTTGATACGCTCATGAGATTTGGTTGGTACATAATGGTCGTGTTGATATCTGAAATTCTCATGATCTAATAGGCAACTTGAATTCGACCATGAGCCTATCACCAAACATTGTTTTGCATAACGATGTCAATGATATCAATCAACAAAAGAAAAGAATACCGGGTTTAGATATTGATCAAATGCATCTGAAGCTACCTACAACGGGCTTTCAAACAAATCATATCGAGTGTATAAGGGGAGATATCGATATCAAGAAGGTCAGTTAAAGGACTTTCAAACCTAAAGGCGATATTTGTCCCTTCAGATATCACCACTCGTCTTACCACCAGTTCATCCTATACGAGCACCCCTTTGTAAAATATTTTCAAAGGCCATGATCAAATCTAGTTCAAACATCACCAATCAATTCCCTTTTCCTTTTGGAAAATTGACTCCTTCATCCAATCCTAAAGGCTTTTTTTAAAGCCTTTTTGTACCCAAGATTTCCTATGAAAGCTTCAGGACATTTCAATTGATCAACTCATGCGTGCTAAATCAAATTGAGATAATCATAACTTGGAATCTTCATTACAAAAGTGAAAAAGCAAAAAAAGAAAGTCGATTTATAAATTTGGTAATCTGGATCTTCCAATACACAACAAGACATTTATATCATCTGAATGTTTCTTTCTAAATCCGAGTATTACTTTTGCTAAAAAGCTTGGCCCGATCGAGAAAAAATAAAAACAAATTTCACCGCAGCAGTTACAACGCAGCAGAGAGAAAAAAGTTTTAGGGTGCGCTCAAGCTCCCATCTGTTCCATCCTTTTGATTACCCCACTGCCACCAACAATTTTTCATATCCCTCAAATCCCTGTCGATGACTTCGTTTTGCTCACTAATGTAAGGAACAAGATACACTCTACTGCTTCAATTCCTCCCATTTCTCTTTTCAGTTCATTTCATTCAACTCACTGATGATCTCTAATATTGTCTCTAGGTATCCTTCTTCAATACCTACCACCACACTGTCCCGAGTTGAACGCTATTGAGTTTGCAGTATGTGTTGAAGTTTGATGTTTGAAGATCACAAGTTTCATCATCTAGGTCAAATCCAGTTGAACGGATCCGGAAGGCAGCTCATAAGATCTTTACAGCTGAATTAACGAGCTAGATTTTCTATAATAGATGAATTGTTTTCAGAGATGCTTGTCATTGTATAGGAATTGGAATCAAGAAATTATAGATAAGATTGATGTGAAAATTGAGATCGTTTCAATCTTCTTCATAGGATCACAAGCAAATCGATCGACTTGGATTTTCTCAACAAAATCAGTCTCTAGATTACATCAGAGAGCTGAGATTGTTCACAATCTCTTCCACAGGAACAAAGAAGGTCAATTGGTTTTGACTGAGCAAAACCAGTCGATCTTTGGATTTTGAATGTCTTTGAGAGAACTGAGATGATTTTTCAGAGCATCCACAACGGTCCACCTACTTTGCGAGCCCTGGAACAGACCCCCGATCCTGATTTTGTGGATGTAGGGGGTCAAAAAAACAGGTGTCCACAGCGGTGCACTTGAAGTCAGGGGCCAGAACTCGATTGAGTGATATGGTATGCTTGTACCATATCATCTTGTTTCGAGTGCGGTTTGAGACGTGACTATATCGGTCACGTGGAAGCAGTGGCACGTGATATTGGGAGCCCCTATAGACCTCGCAGATGTGGGGGGTCCGGATGGAAATCTGGAGGCCCCCGACGTCTCACCCCCGATTGTGCGAGCTCCGTTGGAGCGTTTTTTTGCGTTTTGACCCCCTACATCGCTGGGGGCCCGCAAAGTAGGTGGACCGTTGTGGATGCTCTCAGCTCGTTCATAGGACCATAGACAAATTGAATGGATTTGGATGACTTATTCAAACCCCATGATTTCTTAGTTTTATTGACCTCATAAGAGATATGAGATTGTTCTCAACTCGCAATCATATGATTGTCTCATAGCAGATTCAAAGGGATCGGTCTTGATATCGTTCATAATCCATCGATGATCCTGTCAACCTCAGTTACCTTGAAAATCCACTCGCATTTCGGATATAGCTTTCATAAGGTATTCAATCTCAGACTTTTGTTATTCGGCTTGGTACTGGACAGGTTGAAGATATGTAAGGTACTAAAGCTTCAACATCATGTCTTTGTTTAATTTTTTAACAAATGCTCGTTATCAACATAGGAGGAACACTGTAGAGTTTCACACAACAGATGACTGCTTTCCTTGTCGAGCAGCGTTTTGTTTCTTGGTCATCGAGGGCCTACATCTCTTAGCATTGTTATAAGATGTAGTATCGTAGCCTTGGAAAGTCCTTTCTGAGTTGAGAAATCTTGAGGAATCCATTGCTTGGTTTGTCTGGATCGTGTGCAGTGGGTGGTGAAGATGACAGAGGGAGAGGGAGTGCAGGCAAAGCAATCGGTTTGTGAGCAGCACAAGGGGTAGTGCCAGTGGGATCTGGCGAGGTGTGGTTGTCTGAGCACCCTAAAACTTTTTTCTCTCTGCTGCGTTGTGACTGCTGCGGTGGAATTCTGGGTCTAATTCTGTTTTATTTTTTCTCTTTTGGACCAAGCTTTTTAGCAAAAGTAATATCACCAACAAAAAAAAGAGGTGAAACAAGCCTGGCTCGCAGCGCTACGTAGCGCTACTAGCCAGGAAAACGTTAGGGTAGTTACGGAGTAAACCCACAAATCTTGGTAGCTTTAGCGGTGACGAAAAAAAAAATCGGACCAAAACCATAGCAAAAAGCGTAAATATTTCCGCCGCGCTACTCAGCGTTACTAGCAAAAAGTGTTTATTTATTTATTTTTGAAGATGAGAAAAAAACAAAGGTGAGAGTCAACATAGTGTAAACAAGTGTAAAGAAAAGGCAAAGTAACAGTGTAGAGGAGTGTAAAGAACAAAAAACAATAAAAAAGATTTTTTGATAAAAAAACTCAAACACGAGTTTGGTGGTGTGGAAAGCAAACTCCATCCAACCCTCTTTCTTTTATATCAATGCCAAGCACCAGGTAGGCCTCATACAGAGCTTTAATTGCCGAGCTCACATTGTCATCCTCAAGGCCTGTTCCAGCTTCAAACACATCATTATTAAATTTAAATCTATTTCATACCAGAGTTGAACTATATGAATTAAAGGATAACAGAAAATTAACAATAATAATTAAAGATGACCTTCTTTGTTTTTTGCATTATATCATTTATAAACTCATTGAGTTCAGTTAAATTCAAATCGATCACAAGTTTATAGTCTCATTATTCAATCTCTGTAGAGTCAGGATCAAAAATGCAAATGAATCGAGGTGGATGCGATGGGAGGTGAAAACTTAACAATTGATTGTTCTATATTGAGGAAGCAATCATATAAAACAAAGAATGAATCAGTAAAGAAGAAAAGACAAAGAGAACATAAATGAATTACTTACTTAAATGAAGACCCTACAATCAAATACGAAATGAAATGGATCTTTGTCCTGGTATGAACAGTCAGAATCCAAATTGATGAAGGCAAGATCTAATGAAGAAGGATTCAAGAAAATAACAGAGAAAGTCAGTACAATGAGAGAGTGGAGAATGAAATGAGGACTTACTTGACATGATCAACAGTCAAAATCGAGATTGTCTTGGGTCAAGATGAGGGTAGGGGTTGAAAGTGCCAGAATCGAATTTGAGAGGAGGGACTGGGTTCAATTTTTGCATACAAACCTATGATGCACGTAGAGAAACAGGCTGGGATTGAAAATTAATTGAATAATAGATCGATTTCAAGGTGAGTAGGGTGGTGAGTCGAGAGAAACGGTGGAAGGAGATGGCTGGAAATTGTGTGGGCTGACTGCAATTGAAGATAGTGGAGTAGGGGAAAGCGTACCGGTAAAAATCCCAATCCAGAAATCCTAGCGCAAAGCGTAACGGCTGGATTTTTTGAGACCCGGGTAACGCAGTGGCCACGCCCGGCACTACGCCACGCCGCGCTCCGCGCTACTTTCTGCGCAGCAAGCCAGGCTTGGGTGAAACAAAAGAAAGATAAGTTAATAATTTCACATATGGTAATAGTATTCAGGAAGGCTACAAGATCTTCAATTGTCTCATGAACAATTCTTTCTTCCCTCCCTTTCCCCCTTAACTTGTAAAACAAATCTTCCGAAGTGATTTGTATAAAGAAGGAAAAATATATTTAATAAGAAAAAGCACAAATCAATAACAACCAAAACAAAAGACCAAGCCATATATATTGGAACAGTAGGTGGTTTCAAGTCAAATTTTTTACGGTATTTTGCAGTACATCAAGTTGTCCAAGACCATAAAATTTCACGCAAATTTCAAAAATTTGGGACACTTTTTTAGGTGTCCTGAGTGCTGTTGACTGTATATTTGCAGAAAAAAAAACACTGTAAAATTTCAAAAACTTGTCTGTTTCATAAATATCTTCACAATAATATCCTGACTTGAAACCCCCTAGTATGTGGTGCAGCACTTCTTTGAGTCATCTTTGTAAATTAATGATGATACATTGGGGTGTGAAATTAATGATGATTAGATATGAGTTAAAGTAAAGAGAAATTTGGCAAAAAAAAGCAGGAAAGATAAGAACTCTAAGATATAGTGTATGTAGGTAGATGTTGTCTTTCAAATGTATAATCATTGGGGCTCTCTTAGCCCAACCCATTGGTCAGTTTTTCTGATTTGAAATGGACTTCACCAAAAGATAAGTTTCAAGATTACTTCTTCTCAATTTTTTTTTCTTATGCTATTAGCTTACTTGTCCTGCAATCCTGCTCACATGCTTGCTACAACCCTGCACCAGCAACGTCAATGTTGCGTGTTGCTCAGCGGCGCTTTGCGGTTTTTTGGCCCCGCCACACAGCAGTGTTGCGGGTATTTTTGTGCTGTTTCAAACGGCACACACCAAGGTATTTGGTTTTTCAGTTTTTTTTGAAAGGCAACATAACACGGTTTACGGGCCTCAGAACTGCAGCAGTTGCGGTGTTACAGCCCCGTGTCAGGCCCGGATAAATTTCACGCTATGCCCAAAAGGGCAAGTCCTTCTCCACCACCAACATAGATGCCTCAGACCACAAAATTTCACACAAATTTCAAAAATTTGGGACACTTTTTTAGGTGTCCCAAATGCTGTTGACCATATATTTGCAGAAAAAAGAACACTGTAAAATTTCAAAAACTTGTCTGTTTCATAAATATTTTCACAAAGATATCCTGACTTGAAACTCCCTAGTACGTAGCAGTTCTTTGAGTCATCTTTGTTAATTAATGATGATCTATTGGGGTGTACAATTAATGATGATTAGATATGAGTTAAAGTAAAGAGAAATTTGGCAAAAAAAAAGCAGGAAAGATAAGAACTCTAAGATATAGTGTATGTAGGTAGATGTTGTCTTTCAAATGTATAATCATTGGGGCTCTCCTAGCCCAAGTTCAATCCATTGGTCAGTTTTTCTGATTTGACATGGACTTCACCAAAAGATAAGTCTCAAGATTACTTCTTCTCAATCTTTTTTTCTTATGCTATTAGCTTACTTGTTCTGCAATCCTGCTCACATGCTTGCTCCAACCCTGTACCAGCAACATCAATGTGGCGTGTTGCTCAGCGCCGCATTGCGGTTTTTTGGCCCCGCCACGCAGCAGTGTTGTATTTTGTTGCTGTTTCAACCGGCATACAACAAGGTATTTGGTTTTTCAGTTTTTCTTTAAAAGCAACATAACATGGTTTACGGGCCTCAGAACCACAGCAGTTGCGGTGTTAAGGCCCCGTGTCAGGCCCGGATAAATTTCATGCTGTGCCCAAACGGGCAAGTTTGTCTCTATGTTTCATCAACCATTATCGTACCACCATCCAATGGAGGTACATCTTTTCCATTTCTAGTATGCACCATGCTGCCATTCAAGATTTGATACATCAGGCAGCCAGGGGATGACTGTGCCAGGGTTGATCAATGCAATCTATCACATACATTTTCTTTCCTCTCCCCATCTGCGCTTGATTAAAGATTTTTTCTGACACCTCTTCTCTCCCAACTAACATCTGACTATCAACATCAATTCTTACTCCTTTTAAATTTTCACTTCACTTACTTGCTACAAACTTCTCTATCCCGTCTTGTATTAATTCTACAACCCTCATCAAAACTATCTCTCCATATTTACCAACCACAATTAGAATTATCGCCATCAATCACTTCATGATTGTTGTCAATGTTGTCTCAACCTATACTCCCTCACACCTTGCATGCAACTGAAACCAACACTCCACCTAGACCAGTTTGGAACCGCAAGCAGGCCAGCTACCCTAGCATGGTCTTGCCTTTGCCTGACTCTTGACAACAACTCAGTGTTGAAGCAGAAGCACCTAGGCTCTCAAAACGCAAGCGCAATGAGTTGAGTCAAGATTATCAAGATGATGATCAAGAATCTGTTACGTCTGTAGATTTTGGCAGGAAAAATAAGACAGCCACTCCACAGATACCAAAGCCAAAGCGTAAGACAAAGCCTAAGTCATCAGGCTCAACAAAGAAAGCCACGGCCTCCAAGGTTGAATCTGATGAAGTAAGTTATCCTCATCTAGACAATCCAGACATATAAACTTTTTATTGATTCCACTTACATCTTCCAGCAAATTTCAGAGAACATGACCAAAACAATGTTAAGAGCAGATTCTGATGAGGAGTTTGTTTCCAAGACTCAAAAGAGACGCAAGCTTGAGAATCCAGATAGTGATCTAGCCAAACTTTGGGCTTATTTTTGGCCACCGACGCATGTAATAGGTGATGTAAGTCATGTTTCAATTTCTCTCCGTCACTGAGCCCTGACTGGTAATGTTTCTTCAAGGATCAATCAAAACCACCCCTCTCATACGCCTGTTGGTTCTGCAAGAGGGATAAAGATGATCCTGTTTGTGTAAGCTACAGCAACATGACAGGAAGTCTTTGGACTCATCTCAATGGATACAATTCTGGCGGCCGTTCTGAAGTTGGCTGTCCTGGCTGTCTTAAAGCCCACAAATCACAAACAGTTCATGTACCACCTTTGGTTGCCGAGAAATGTATGGCTAACGTCAAGAAGGGCACAGCACTTGACCAGTTTGTAACTACAACCCCGGGTACCAAGTTCAACAACATCATGTTAAAACAGATGGCTTGCACGTGGTTGATCCGCCACACCCTCACTTGGAAGAGAGTTGAGGATCCAAGCCTGTGGGGAATGGTTCAATTTCTTGGAAACAATGCCAAGTTGTATGGCCAAAAATGGGTGGCAACTGAAGCTAAGAACATCAACAGTTCTTTGAAACAAAATGTATTCAAAGACCTCAAAGTAAGATAATTTCCTGTCTCTCCACTCATTCTTTGCTATTTCCTATTTTAAAGTAACTTTTTTACTGACTGGTACTTTACTTTTAGCAACTCACTTCACAATTCAATCTTGCCCATGATGGTTGGACAAGCAAAGGGAGCCGCCACAGTTTTATTGGCGCTTCAGTTACTTTTATCAATCCAAAATGGAACTATCACGTCCGTCACGTGAGCCTTAAAGTGGTGGCTTGGCATCACCATGGTCCGTGGTTGGCTGAACCAATCATAAATCTTTTGGTCTAGCATGAGATTTATCAAAAGATAAGTGATCAAAGCTATATTCTCTATTTTAATTTCCTTAGTATTTTGATGATTTGTATTTCAATTATTTCATAAGATTAATACATGCTTCTTTTTATGTTTTACATCCTCTGC